TAGTCTGGCAAAAAATCAATTAGATCTCAAACAGCATCAAGTTGTTGAAGCCGAACTACGTAAATTTTTTTGTTAAAACTGAAAGAAATAGCTCTACTGAAGACAAAAAATGTGCGTGCACTGGCACAAGTCGCCATCTAAAGCCAGAAATAATAATATAAAAGTCAGAGGTGTTGGGTCGGATTTGGAGGGAGTTTTTCAGAACACGTCATACGTCTTTACATATTAATGTCACACACACAGGCTCAAAAAGAAGGTCCAGCTCATTGTTTAGGTCTTAAATGCAAAATCAATGTTATACTGATGAAGATATGAATGACAATAGTAGATTATGCCCTCATATCCTCGGATGCCCATCAGTTCTCTTGGAATTCTCTTTCAGTGCACTCTTTCAAATCATCAAATTCATCCACTAGGGGAAGGGGTCTGATTCCCAATGTTTCAAAATGTTCCTCTGCATGTTGCATGCAGTTACATGTTTCTGCCAGAGGGGTCTCCAAATCCCCAAATGTTACATAGGTTAGCTTTAAACATTCTCAAACAGACTTATAAAGTTTGTGACACTGAATGATATGATTGTCTATATAGATGGACACAAACAGGGAAATGCTTCAGGGTGATTTCTACAGCTACTTAACAATAACAGTATGATATACAGTGTCAGAAAACACATAAGCAAGTCTATCTGACATTGCATAACTTCACAACGTAGTCTGAGGCAGATGTAGACATGCAGCTTGCATGATGCTAATTAGTCTACATAAGATTCCATCACTTCACCCCTCTCTGTTCGTGTCTCCTGGCCTGTCCATTTCTTTGTCCTTATGCTCTGCTTTCAGAGAGGATGGAGCTTGTTACCATGGTGATGTCGCCAAGCCAGGCTGTGCCAGCCCCAGCTCTGCGAGGCCCACGGAGCACCATCAGTCCACCCTAAACAAGCCAAACACACTGTTAATAACCAGATGATGTACCAGAGCTGCCAAAAAAAGGAGAAGTGGAAAGTAGTGTTTGCACTACAGATTTCTGCCTTATGTAAGAAATTGATAACATAAAAACACAATCACTCACAGTGGTTTGATGTGAAATGCTCTGTTCTAGCAAAACCGAGTCAGAATTGTCAGTGGTGATAAGTCACCAAACTGTGCTGACCTCAGTTTCCCACCCCTAAAAGCTCCATCTCAGAAAGTTATTACATGAAATTGTTATAAATACACTGTCTGATGTCTGTGAGACTGTTTTACAATAATTTAGCAAGAGGTTCTGGCATTTTTTTAAATGCCTTCATAGCAGAGAGGTACATGCAGGGAGTTGTGACGCAAACATTCTCCAAAGAAAACTTTTTAAAAACATTTTATCATTATTTTACCATCATCAGCATTCCATATAAAAACTCAGAAGACACATGTAGGTTCACTGGTGGTTTGGGATAGTAAATAAAGAGGCTATATTTGTGCTGTTGACACTGTAACCTTTGGTTCCTGTCACCACCACTGTAAAAAGTCAATACAATGAACCATTTTACATCAAACCACACTGAATGACACTGTTTACATGTCAACAATTGAATTATGACACGCCAGATAAACCTACCACAGAGTGTTGTTTCTGTGACTCATGTGGGGGTGGGCGATTTTCAAAGGGGCTAGACAAAAATGCACCTGAGGGAACCGGCATGAACAAAGCATATCGCTGCTTTTGGAAGAAAATGTATTATCTCCATTTTTGACATCTTTCAGTTTTTGACGTCATTTGAAAATGCCTGTTGCCCTTTATATAGTGCATAGATTTCATGAAGAATGGACCAGAAACGTCCCAAAATTACTTTGAAAAAAATCTGGTTCCACTGATTTACAATAAAAGTGAAGTAGGTTTTTACCTTCTCCTGTAAAGCTATTATTTTGTAGATACGAGGTTTTCTTCTGACAACAGCGATATGACCATACTGGGGTGACCAGGTAAACCAGAACAGACCAGCACTAGGCATTAAATGCTTGCTGGTCTGTGCTGCTTTTTCAGCAGGGAAGCAAAGTGGTATGCAGCAGCAATGAAGCACATTAAGATATCTTACTTACCAGTTAGTGAATGTGAAACCCTGAACATCACCTTGATCTTCATTCTATTTCTTGCTCCAGAAGACCTGTTGATGTGCACCTCTTTTCCATCAGAGTAATACACTGCACGGAGGTGTCCATGGACATGCCTGTAACCAATTAGAACACAATCGACAAAATCCTGAGTTGTAGTCAGCTTAATGTGCAATTGATATAAAACCTCTGTGGCCAGAGCAGCTAAAACTGGGACTACAGGTTGCCATACCCAACAGAAGGTGGAGGAACCATCAGAAGAAGCTGCAGTTTGAAACGTTTTAAATAGTTGACACACAAAGTGAGACCACCGCTACACTGTACAGTTACAGTTAGATGTCTTTATCCTTTAGTATTTTTAAAAATGATGGTTATTTATATGAAGACTTCTCAAGTGCTCAATGACAACCTATTGCATAGTAATATTACTATGCAATATATATATATATATATATATATATATATATATGAAGCAAAAAGAAATACACGACTCTAAATATATACACAATATACAATAGTATTTCCAATGTAAAGTTGTACAGTAATAAGTTATGAAATAAAACTTATTGAATGAGACAAAACTTCCAGATTGTACAAGATATGGATAGAAGATGTAAAAGATGTCAATCTATATGTGTAAGTATAGATTTGCTAGATCGAAGGTGCAGTAAGATCAGACTGAGTGTGTTTGAGGTGTGTTTGAGGTGTGGATTGTCCATGGAGATCATCATCATGATAATTCAGAAGTGTAGTGACAGGCCTATAGACCGATACACCAGCACTACTGGCTGTTCAGCAGCCTGATGGCCCGAGGGAAGAAACCGTCTCGGAACCGGCTGGACTTTATGTTTCTGTACCTCCTCCTGCTTGGCAGCTGTGAGAACAGAGAGTGGCTTGGGTGGGTGGAGTCCTTCAGAATACTCCTGGTCTTCCTCAGGTAGCGGCTGGTGTATAAATCCAGGAGGTTTGGGAACTGGACCCCAGTGATGTGCTGGGCTGTCTGCACCACCCTCTGCAGAGCTTTCCGCTCAATGGCAGAGCAGTTCCCATACCAGGTGGTGATGGAGCCTGATAGAATGATCTCCACAGTACATGTGTAGAATGTTCTGATGGCAAACCTCCTCAGCCGCCTGAAGTAGAAGAGGCGCTGTTGTGCCTTCTTCCCCGCCTGTGTGGTGTGTTTGGTCCATGTCAGTTCCTCTGAGATGTGAACACAGAGGAACTTGAAGCTGGTGCTGGCAGTGTGCACTTTTTCTTGCTTTCTGAAGTCCACTATGAGCTCCTTGGTCTTGTCGACGTTGAGAGAGATTGTCCTGGCACAAGTGTGTCAGGAAGCTGACCTCCTCTCTGTAGGCCTCTTCGTTGTCATTGGAGATCAGGCCCACAATCGTGGTGCCATCTGCAAATTTGATGATGACATCGGAGCTGTGTCTGGCTGAACAGTCGTGGGTGTACAGAGAGTACAGGAGAGGGCTGAGCACACAGCCCTGAGGAGCTCAGGTGTTAAAGGACAGTGAGGAGTTGCTGTTGCCCATGCCCGTGCTCTTTCTGTCCAGATGGGAGAGGGCAGTCTGAAGAGTCAGGGCTATTGCATCATCAGTGGATCTGTTCTGTCTGTAGGCGAACTGCAGTGGGCCCAGAGTGGCAGGTGTTCAATTCTGAGATATATACAGTGGTGTGAAAAAGTGTTTGCCCCCTGATTTCTTATTCTTTTGCATGTTTGCCACACTTGAATGTTTCAGATCACCAAACAGATTTAAATATTAGACAAAGATAACACAAGTAAACACAAAATGCAGTTTATAAATGAAGGTCTTTATTATTAAGGGAAGAAAAGAAAAAGAAATCTAAACCTACAGGGCCTTGTGTGAAAAAGTGATTGCCCCCTAAACCTAATAACCGGTTGGGCCACACTTAGCAGCAACAACTGCAATCAAGTGTTTGCGATAACTGGCAATCAGTGTTTTACAGCACTGTGGAGGAATTTTGGCCCACTCATCTTTGCAGAATTGTAATTCAGCCACACTGGAAGGTTTCCGAGCATGAACCGCCTTTTTAAGGTCATGCCACAGCATCTCAATCGGATTCAGGTCAGGCTCACTTTTTCACACAGGGCCCTGTAGGTTTGGATTTTTTTTTTCCCTTAATAATAAAGATCTTCATTTATAAACTGCATTTTGTGTTTACTTGTGTTATCTTTGTCTAATATCTAAATTGTTCGGTGATTAATTGTTTGGTGATCTGAAACATTTCAATGTGACAAACATGCAAAAGAATAAGAAATCAGGCAGGGGCAAACACTTTTTCACACCACTGTGTATGTGTGTGTGTGTATATATATATATATATATATATATATATATATATATATATATATATATATATATATATAAACATACATACACACACACCACACCTATGCCACTTATCCTCCTGGGTAGAATACATTATACCTAAAAATACTACTAAATTAATAATAAAATAACAGTAAACATAAAATTAACAGTATCTTCCTGTTTTCTCCAGCAATCAAGTTTTGAGCGGTATAATGCTGCATTATGGCTACTGAGTGCTGACTGATTGTTGAGTTGATCAACTCGTCTGCCTTACAAAAAAATTCAGGCCCAAGACACTGTTGAATCTAATTAAGCCTAGTGGTGTCTAATTGAACTGATTCTAATTATTAACTAAATATGGTTAATTGGTTGATGAAGTAACTAAGGAGTAAATTTCTTTTGAGTATACTCAAGTTTTCTTTGTCGTATATTAAAGCTGGTTTGAAGATCTAAAACGTGTGACAAATATACGAAAACATCAGGTGTTTTTCACAACACTAGGAAGGTGCATAGAGTGTAGCGTTAGAATACGGGGCACACTGCTGTAATTAAGAAATAAGAGTAAGAAAAAGACATCATATAGCATAACACAAGAACAACAGCAACAGGCTTTTTTATTTCAAGTTTTAATAAAAGGGGAAGATGTATTTACAGTATGTAAGACACTTCCATGTGTCAAAATGAACTGCATTCCGGGCATCCCAACAAACGGGAAAAAAAACAACAGCAGACCACAGGCCCACTTTGGCATTGACTTGCTAAACATACATCAAGCAGTTGGTACAAGCTCTGGCTGAAAGCAGGGCTTAGCAGAAACAATCCACGTCTTTCATTTCCTCCTGAAACCACTGTTTACATAAACAAAAGATAAAACAAAAGCAATTCAAACTTTAAAAAAATGTTTTTTTCTAAAATAAACGTAATTTTACTGTCCCAGTTCCAGAGGTCACCTAGGGAACTACGGGCCAGTCCATATACTCTATATAAAAAAGGGGTGATGGCAAGTCTAGGCAGTTTGCTCAGAGCTTTCTATCTTCCCCCATTTCTCCACTGTTGGACATGTCTGGCTCCAGAGTGACCCATCTCGCTAAAGCTCTAGCACTCCTCTAAGGTCTCAGGTGCTGCTCACATCCTCTGAGTCGTTGGGTTTGGACTCCGCAGATCCGTTCTGCTCCGTGTCTGATCCCTCCTGCTCTGGTACGGCCGCCTCTTGGCCTGGTTCCTCTTGGTTCTCTGCGTTTCCTTCTTGAGCTGCTGCTGCACCTCCTTCCTTCTTGCCCTGCTTGTCCCGGAACACCTCCACTCCAACCATGCGCAGGTAGTGGAGGCGCTCGTTGCGGGGAACAAAGGCCCTGATGGATGTTTTACCCCTCCAACCACACAGCTCTATGGGGCACTGCGGAGCACTGGGGTCACTGCAGAGAGAAGGAAAAGACATTGTACGGTCAGTCTTAAATTATTCAATTTAAATTACCAAATCTCTATGTGATGATGCAACCGGTTTGTGGGGGGGGGGGTTACTTAAGTGCAATCTAACCACATGCACTCATGTGATTTACTCTTTGGAACAGAGACTAGCTACAGGGCTAGATATCAGGCCAGAAAGCAAAAAAATGTAGGCATTATAATCCATTTTTCAATTTCATTTACTATTTCTGGTCTGTGTAGTGAAGAGACTAATAATGTGTGTCATCTGTTTAGAATCTGTGGTGCTAATCAATCAAATGAACCTACTTACAAAATTCAGTCCTGAGGACAAATAAAATAAACCTAAATGCTCAACTTGAAAATTCTTGTGTATTATTTACTTCACTGTGTTCAAAAACTACGCAATTACAAGTCCAGTTTTTCATTAGTATTTTTTTTATTAAAAATGTTCTGATTATCACTTTAAAGGCCAATGTAATTTGTATAAGGTCACCTCATAGCAGTTATGGCACTTAGTACCCTTTGTTACCCATCTTTCAGAAGCTACTGAAGAAAGAAATCCAAACAAACATCACCGCTCACAAAACATTCCTCTCTTCATGTTTCGGTAATGTTATCTTAGTTGTGACTGGTCCATAAATAGTAAATACTACTTAAGAGAGGAGCAACTCTACCTTTTGGGAGCAGACGTCCCTCCCTCCCTCCCTCCCAAAACTAAAAACCTCAAACGCACATGATTCATGGCAATTATACAAAACAATGAATTTTGCCAAAAGCCAAGAAAGTGCATGTTTGCCTACAGGAAAATGTTTTTGAGCTAAGGTGTCAGGCTCTCTCAAGCACTGAAATGTCAAAGTTGAACTTCAAAAAAATGGCAAGCTTTAATAAAAAAAAATAAAAAATAAAAAAAATAAAAAAATCCTCTTCCTCTACCAGCCTGCATAAAGCACATATGAAAACCAGAATATCTCCATTATTGCATGGCTGCATTTCATGATCTATTACTGGATAAATGAGTATTAGTTGGCCAAGAATAATATATCTGTCCTATACTAGTCATAAACGGTTTACTGTACAGTTTGGCACCAACAGCCAAGAAGCAACACTTTTACTTAAATGTAATATTTAACTAAGTTTTCTGATGGTTTTTACGGAGTCCCGCTGGTGACATACTGTATAAATAAAAATAATGCATGGCCACGACTTAGTAAGGCATGGGAACAAGATAATTAAGTTGTGGCCACGACTTAGTAAGGCAGGGGAACGAGATCCTATTGCGTGACCACGACCTAGTAATGCATGATCTCGTTCCTATGCCTTACTAAGTAGTGGCCACGACTTAATTATCTCATTCCCCGTCCTTACAAAGTAAGGGCTCCGTAGGTTTTAGTATACGGATATGCAGTACATTCATATTGTCATTCTTATATTCACAGCTTGCTGCATGTTAAAGACATCGGTATGGTGAAAGTACGAGGTACAACAAAATTTTTTATTTTTTTTGCTAAACTAAAACTAACAAAGAACAGAAAGAAACGAGTGAGGGACCCAAACCGGGAGCGACAGAGTCTATAATACAAGAAGAAGAGAAAAACAGAGTTAGGGGGTGGAGAAATGGACAGATTACGGCTGAAGAACCAAAGAAGACAGATAGACAGGCTGGGATTAATGATTGTTGCCAAGCAGTAGGAAGGATGAAGGAAGCTTGAAGGGAAAGGAGTAAAGACAGCTTAAGGGGGAAAAAAGCAAGAACAGAGTGAAACAGATAGATGGGAGGCAGCCAGCAGCATGAATTTAAAAGGAACAGGATGACACTCCAGAGACAGCATGATCACACAGTGACATCAGAGCTCCTCTTACACAGCGAGCGTAAGCTGAGAGGAATACTCACGTCAGTGTGCGTGTGCTTGTGGTGGGGGAGCACTTACTAACAAAATATTACACATGGATCTGGTAGCTTCACTTGGGCGAAATTCCATGTCTGGCTGTGTGTTAATCTGACTTTCACTGATTAAATGCAGAAAGCACCACACTACTGTGCACTGGCCCATTACAAAAGACAATTTTGCCGTATTTAACATCTCAGATTTCTTGGAAACACATCAGACATCAGAAAAGGAATAAACTGGTAGAGCTGAAAAATCATTGTTTTTAATATTGAAAAAGAGTGAAATTTTCAAATCTTAAAAGCTGCAGTTTTAAATGTAGCCTACATCAACAACACTGTCTAAAGTTTCATGTGGAGAAATTTAATCTGTTGACATGGAGCTTGTGAACTGCCTGTAGCATCACAAGGCAACCGAACAACCATGTGCTGTGTTCATGATAACCATAACTAACTGGCTGTAAATGGCAGTGTTCAAGCCTCAAGTCTTCTGGGTCAAAACAGGTCAAAACCTTAAATTTATAAAAAGAAAGGCAATATTGGTCAGATAAATTATAAGATTATTGTTCTACAAATTATTCAGATCTACCAACATGTAGGCCGAAAAACACTGTTGTCTTAAAACGAATTTGTCAACCAAGTAGGGAAACTAATTCTTATTTTTATCATCAAGTACTTGTGCATAATTTGTGTAAGTGCATAATTTGTGGAACTCGCACTCAAGTTTTTCACTCACCTGTGTCCCTGTACTCTTGTGATGTGACAATAAATCTGATTTGATTTGATTTGATTTGAAGTAATCCACTGACTATTATTCAGCTAATTAAACTATTAGAACATATGGTGAAATATGCTGAAATACTGAAAAACCGAACATTTAGAAAAATGCATCAAAATTTAAACGGACACTCCTGTCAAATATTACCCATATCTACATCTGTAAACATGCCTATTTGCATCCTACAGCAGTACGCAGTCTCTAGAGTGAGGTTTCTCAGTTTAGCTCTAACCCTGATCCAACACACCTGATCCAGGTAATGAAGGCCCTCAGGACCAACTGAATGTTTAGAGCCAGGTGTACTGGATCTGAACTCTTCAGGGTGGTAGATCTCCAGGACCAGGATTGGGCACTTCTGATTTAGCATTTTGCGTCTTTCGGCAAACTAACTCTTCACAAAAGTGCTGTTTGTGAGCTAGAATGTATGAGGTGATTGGGCTAGTACAGTTCCTTTAAGAGAAACAGGTGATAAGCATTGGTCCATCTATTTTAATGACCTTAGACTGACTACCTTTCTCTGTCAAATCGTCAAATCATCCATCAATGTGATCCGGTCTGGGTTTAACTTAGTAAGAAAATTTAATGTAGTAGGGAAACGCTGAGTGGTGCTCAGAGAAATTAAGCAATGCTAGAAGTCTCAGAGCAGCAGTGCACGTCCACATCACGCCCTCATTAAAAACAGTGTTGTCAAATATACATGATTTCGTATTTATAAGTTTGGGCACGCATCGTCAAATGACCTGTTTTGTTGATTTTGTAAGTGAAAGTAAGTTAACAAAAAAAAAGTGCACATTTTAATGCACAATTAATGTCTAATATGTTAAACTCATCAAACAAATTCAAACTGATTTGCAAAAAAAATTAAGAGGATGTCAATTTATTTAAAATCAACAAAACATTCATTCAATTTCACCACAGCCGTTCAAACTTTTGTATACGACTTTATATGCAAGCATGCAGGCCAGTGCGTGAGTAAGAGTATGTGAGTGAGAGTTCCTGCACACACACTGGTCTCCCTATGACCAATTTTCTTGGCAGTCAGGGCCACTGATGTGAAACATGGCACTCTAGTGAGGCAGACAATGAGCTTTGTGGTGAGAGAGACAATGAGGAGCTATTTATCGGTGAAGAGAGCAGCTCCATCAGTTCAGGCCCTCTAATTATCACACAGGAGTAGCAATGGCAGAGCACGTCCTATCCATTCACTGTCTGTCGCCTCACTGTTTGATGAATAGCGTGAACAACATCACACAGCTCTCAGTGTACAAACAAGCCTTTTATGAGGGTAAAGTGCCAGAATATCTCTCTATAAAAAAGTAAACTGGTTAATATTCATTCAAATGAGGCGACAACAAAAGAGCATCACTTACTTCGGATCTGGCTGGTATCTTAAAACAATGCTGCCCATTTCTGCAGAATAAAAGAAAAGGTTTAAAAGCACACATGAACGTCATTTAAAGGGGAACTGCACCAATTTTCCCACATTTGCTGCATAATTAAGATGTAAACAGTCATTCAGAGTGGGTTTATGTGAAACGCTTCATTGTAAAGAAACTGTCTTTATAGTGGTGGTGATGGGAGCCAGGGGGTCACAAAGTCTACAAATATAGACATTTTATTTACTATACATGAGACCCACTAAAACTACACGTGTCTGAAAAGCTTTAAATGTTGTGTGAAAGACTGTAAACAGTGGTAAATCTGAACAAAATGTCTTTTTTCTGGGGACTTTTTTGCCTTACAAGACCCAGCATGTACCTCTCCACCAAAACCTTTTCAGAAGTATAGTGAAACCATGTCTCATGCATCAGGCAGTGTATTCTATAATTATTTCATATATTAACATTCTGTGATGTATTTTTTTTAGAGGAGTTAATCTCTTCAGATGTCTGGTTCCCATCACTACCACTAAGTTTCTCTAGAATGAACCATTTTACATCAAACCACTCTGAATGACCCGGTTTACCTCATAACCGTATTATTATGCAAAAACTTAGCAAAATCAGTAGAATTCCCCTTTAACACTTCAACAAAGTATTACTGCAGTCTCTGAGAAGACACACTCTTAAAAGTGCTAAAAAGGCTACACTGATTGACAGCGTTTTCTCCTTGGCCACAAACTCAACTTAAACTAATCTTTTAAGTCTCAGTGGAGATGCATGGCCTTCACATATCTGCGGCTGTGAGGAGCTGCAGGGCATGGCTGGGAGACTAACCGAGTTTCTTGGCCTGAGCATGAGCGTCATCTCCCAGCCTGCTGAGAAAAGGATTCTCTTCAGTTAAGAGGACCTTCACGTCCTCCACGCTAATGTTGATCACACGCGCTCTGATGTAGGGATAGAGAGTGTAAATACCCTGGGGAGAGAGAGAGAGAGGAGAGAGAGAGAGAGAGAGAGAGAGAGAGAGAGAGAGAGAGGAAAGAAGAGGGAGAGAGGGAGAGGGAGAGAGAGAGAGAGAGAGAGAGAGAGAGAGAGAGAGAGAGAGAGAAGGAGAAAGAGAAAGAGAGAGAGTTGCCACAACAGCCACTAAGTTCAACTACACACAACCAAAAATAATTCATCCCTGCAAAATGATGCTTTTCTCTCACATATGTTTAAAAAGTGATGGCAAAAGTTCAAGCACTGCATGAAAATGAATACAACAAACATGATTAAGAGATTAGACATGTACTGATTAGACATCTGTTACAAGTTTTTTACTTTAAAATGATGGAAAATAGCCAGCTATGATTAGAGATTAAACAGTAAACAGTAGACGGGGGTGAGGGTGGAAATTAAAGTCCTATTAGTCAACAGCAATGATTATTTATATATGTATTCATATTATTTCAGTAGTAATAAACCTTAGCACATTTGCACTGACTAACAGTAAAGGCTTTAACTTCACTGCTTTGTACATCTAGCTGGCAGATGAAAATTAAAACTCAAAAGCAATGAATATTTGTGTATGTATACATGGTATTTTGGTACATACTGACAACAGAAATAGTAGTAACAGGAGAACTTCAGTCATTCATGCACAAGGCTAAGGCTAGCTGAAAACCATCCAGCTGTTTTCGTGCTGTTGTGTGAGAGAATGGCTAGATTTCTATTACTACTATTTCTAATGTCAGTATGTACCAAAATAATATGTATACATACATATTGTCATCCCCAGCCGCCCCCACCACCAAATTGTCAACTGGTTGTCTCGACTCTCCTGCACTCACTGTACAGTCTATTGTATAGCATTTGTATAGTTTATCGTCCATATTAATTCTATATTTCGGTTTTAAAATGTTGTTTGCTGCTGTTTGGTGTTAAATGTAGCACCGTATCCCAGAAGAACTATATTTCAGTCCTCACTTATCGCGTCTTTGGTGAGAAAGGATGACAAAACTGACGCTGAATTGGAAATTACAACGTATTCCTGCAAAATCATGACATATTTCCAAGTGAGGTATGGCTGACAAATCTTTTTATATTGAAATCACAATTTTATTATTCCCCACTATTTGAAAATGCCAGCTGCCCTTTACACTGTGTAAACATTTCATGATGAATAGCGTGACAGACTAGGGGTGGTGGTCTTTGAATTTAAGTGAGAAAATTTAACCTCACACCACAGAGCTCGTGAACTGCCCACGAATAAGTTAGACCAATCAGATGCAACCAAACACCCATGTGCTGAGTACATGACAACACAAGCTAGCAGTCTGGAACACTATGTTCAGTGTTTGAGCCTCAAGCCAGAAAAAGTGGATGTCCTGGTCATCTTGGTAAAAAAGATAACTGCAATATTGGTGACAAATCGCAATTAGATATTTTCCCCAAGTTGTTCAATTTTAATATCAGATTTTCAAAACTAGCTGAGCATTTTTGCTCTATGACAGGTGGGGTGTGGAGGGAGGGGGTGGTAAAACTATCGCCCACTGGTGCACAGTGACGTAATCAAAGATCAAGACATTTTATTTTGATGTACATTTTGATCACAGGAAAACAGGATGACTTTAAATAACAGATTAAGGTATTTAAAGTGATCCTGAAATCTAAAAAATAATGTCATCACTATCAAAAATGCCTCAAACTCTGTTGCTTTAAGAAAAATGATTGATTTTGAAAATTACTGTTATTTTACCGCCAGGCCTCATTTATTACATATATGATGAGCACAGGCTCAGTGTTGGTGATGGGTTAAGTGTGCGATCTGGTTTGTGGTCAGGTGATCGAGGCCTACCTCCTGGGCCAGCCGGAAGGCACAGCCAAACTGTTCCCCGTCGTTATTTCTTGACCACACTTTCACTCCTGTGTTGATCACCTGAGGAGGACAGCCATGGAGAATAAGGAGGAGCATGTGATCACAAAAGAACATTCAGAGAGAAGCAGCTGACATTTAGCGAAGTGTCTCCATCCCTTCCTGAATGATTCGCCTCGGTCTCAAATGTCAGCCCATCCCACACTCAGCTGTGAGCTCATTATTTTAATCAGCAGATGGCAGGCTAAAGGTCCAGCCTGACCCCAGAATGAGAGGGAGGTTTGGAGGGGCTGCTGTTTGAGGCCCAGCTGCTGGAGTGCCAGGCTGCATCACTTCTACAGGTGAAGACTGTTTTAGCCCTCAGGCTGTCTTCAGTCAGGGAGCTTCACAGTGAGTGTGTGCATGCATTTTTGGGCAGCACTGCCATTTACATTTGCATAAATATAAACGTCTGTATGACCTATTTAAAAATAAAGATTCCAAAACATCTTTTACCCCATAACACAGATCACATTGATAAAAGTGCATATTCTGAAATGGCTTGAAGGCAAAATATGTGAGGTGTGTAAGATGTATATTACCCACAACCTTTTACAAAACTCTGAGCACACATACTTTGGGGAGCAAAGCCGTTTACATATGATAGCAGTCGTAAGAACGTCTCTATGAAATGCATTTTTTTGGCAATTACTATGATTATTAGAGATGCATTGTACCACTTTTTTCAGACCAAGTACAAGTGCATGTATTTTAGTAACAAGTCAGATGCCATTATGAATTATCTACTTAGAATTAAGAAGTTATTAGTGTAAATGACTGCAACATACCTTAACAGTTAAGTCACTAAAATCTAGCTGATTTTAAATAATGTGCATTAGCTAGCTACGCTACATTAGTTACCTTTGATCAGTTAGCGCTGCAGCAGGAAAGAGCAGGCTTTGTTCCACATAAAAAAAAAGCACTTTTGTACAGATGTGGGTAAAGTATGTTTCATAGTTTTGATCATCAGTCTCTGTATCTCCGTATCACACTGTTCAAAAAATGCTCGATCCATGCTACGTGAAATGCAGCCTCTAAACATGGCCCTGATTATGGACAACTACAAATAAAGCTGTTTCACTCAAAATAACACTGCGCAGAGCAAACATGATGAGAAACTGAGCATCAAATCAACGTATTAATGTTTATACTTCTCTGTTATGTTCAATCAAACAGAGTTAAGTCAGCATATACTGTTTAAAGTGATTGATAGCTTTGTGTCCAGTAACACACTGAGAGTGGACCCTCGTTCCACTTGAGTCTGCTCATTAGAGTGGCACTGTACACTAGGCTTACACCACATGGTATCAGTGGAAATTGAATGCTGGTACTGGTGCATTTTTAGGAGAGCAAGTATGAGTAAATGAGCACAGTATCAGGCCGATACCCAGTACCAGTATCAGTATTGATGCATCTCTAATGATTACTGTTAATATCCCCTCCCCAGTTGCCCTTTACACTGTGTAAATATTTCATGACGAATGGGATAACAGAAAAAAGGTGGTGGTCTTTGAATCCTTGGTTTCTTAAAAAAATGAAAGCAAAAAACACCACCATATCCCCAGAAACTGGATGTGGCCACATGGAAGAAGAGATGTTTTGTTTACTAACTAAATTCCCTCTACTGCGGATAACTATTGCTTACACAGTCATTTGTTTATGCATGATGCACCGAACTAAACCAAATTTGGCTCATGTATTATGCATTCTAAAGGAGCCATATTCCAGGATTTGTAAATACACACCATATTCTTCCTCTATTTGTCTTCCCCTGAGGTCCAGTTAGGTTTGTATGTATGTATTTGTATGTGTTTCCAACTTCCTTGTCTTTATTTACAATTAACCTCTTATAAACTCTCAAAACTACATATTTTGCATATTAATTTCATAGCAGTTACCAAATAGTTCACAGTTATGGAGTAAACTTTAAGATTAATAACTAAATAAGTGTGGACTTCTTGAGGTCAAACAGGCTGTTTTAGGTACTAGTGTTTGTAAATGACCTCTGTTCTGATTGTCTGCCATGTATTGTGCCTCATTCAGAAAGTAGCAGTCCAAGCTGAAACACTCCAACATGAATGAGTGGAGCTAAACTGCCCGAGGTTGAATAGGCACATTTATGTAAATGCATGTTTTCATGACATCACAAAAACTAGGTGTATTTGTAGCAAAGCGTATATATGTAGACTGAATGAACTGTGGAGTGAATGGTATGCTCTGAGACTCATTAAAATAATAAAATAAAAATAATAATAAAATAAAAAAGACAAATTTGGCTTTCCATGATATCGGCCTTTGAAAGACGATTTAAGTCTTCTTTTTTTTTTTATTCTGATACAATCAAACGGTTAAGATTTAACCAAAGTCATTCAGATTGGTTTGATGTAAAATGCACAGCTATTGAGATACTTACTGAGCCAGAATTGCTCAGTGGTGACAGGAACCAGACATCCAAAGCATTAATGCCTCTAAAAGCTCTTTCATAGAAAGACATTACACAAAATGGTCATGAATACACTGCCGGATGTCAGAGACTTTGCTCCCAGACAGCTTTGAGAGAAGATTTTGGGCCAAAAAAAACATTTATTTCAAAAGCAATTTTGTTTAGAAAAGCACATGCAAGGCAACGTAAAGTAACCCAAAGAAAATGATTTTACTATTAATTACCATTACATATAAAAACGATGGTATGTGTAACCAACTGGTGGTTTGGGCTTCTAAATAAAAGGAAATATTTGCACCATAGACATCGTGACCCCTGGTTCCCATCATCACTACTGTAGAGATATTAGTGTCCGTAAAGGAACAATTTCACATCAAACTACTCTGAATGACTGTTTACATCTCAGTGATTGAAATTGTGCAGAAATTTTTAATCGAATAAGAATAGAAAATAAGAGAATTCAAATGTGTGCTCACTTTCATTCTCTCACTGTTGTTGAGCAGGACATTGCGCAGCTCCTTGGACACCATGTACAGATGCCTTTTTTTCCCCTCATGAGTCCTAGTCAACACATTCAGCTTGGGGAAGTCTGGAGACAGGTCATAGAACGCCCTGCAACGAGTGCACACACAGACAGTTAGTCAAACAGGGGAAATGGAAAAGACAAGAAAAGAAAAAGATGTGAACAAAGACACACACACACACACACACACACACACACACACACACACACACACACACACACACACACACACACACACACACACACACAGCCAGTGTTAAACATACTGTGCCATATGGTGCAGAGGCGGAAGTCGATCTGGTTGAGTTGTTTGAGTCTCTGAGTGGCTAAATCAAACTGGCATGTTGCCAGGAGTAAAGCTATGTGCATCTGTCTCCATACAGAATATCAAACACAGAAGAATTCCCTCTGTGTGACACGAGCTGGGATTTTAATTTATCTAAAGGAATGAGTGGCAGGTTTAAGAGAGAAAACGCTTTTCGGTGCAATTTAAATTTCACATTTAAAAATTTAAAATCAAACTGATGCACACAGCATACATCCTGGTACTATACAAAAGCCTTAACATGGTCAGTGTCCCCAATGTGCTTAAACTGAACTTAGAAACAGCCTTAATAAATCTTTGTTTTTTTTTTAAAGCTTTGCTGTTTATTTCCATGATTTGAATGAGAAAAAGCCTCAGACTTTTAGACCCCACTGTATGTCTAAACTTAAACTAAACCTCAGCTAGTAACAGTGAAGTTTTAGTTTTAAAAGAAAGGAAACATGTAGCTTTTGTATAAAAAAAAATCTGAGGTCTATTCTGTTGGCCCTGTAGGTCAGCTCTGTTTTTCTCTGGTCAAAACATTTGTGTTTTTAAAACGTACAAACACACTACATAACAGAGGTTTTGCAAGCGTTTGTCAGCCTAGTAAGTGCATGCTCACGCATACACGGCACAGGCTTTGTAAATGGAGAGGCACTCACTGGATTGGGGGGAAGACGGGGTCATCCTCCGTCAGAAACACAAAGGGATCCTCTTTGAAGCCGAAAAGCTTCATCTTCTTTGAAGGCGGGGGGCTGGAACAGAGCAGGTCGTGTCCACAGTGACCAGGATAGATGGCAAAGAACATACACAACCAAAATCAACTACATTTCTTTCAGCCAACTCATTTTTTACAACTGAACTTTGGACCATGAAGCTGGAGTCTCCACACAGGTTTCAAGGTTGTTTCTTTTTAGTGAATGTATAGTTCATGCGCTTCAGTCATGCAACACGCTGGGTACTGTAAGGCAGGCAGATGCAACATTTTAAATAAACAAGATCCCAAGCAGGCAAAATGTAAAATCTGTTCAAAATGAGCACAGAGGCCTGCACTCAGCAATTAAACAAGCAAGAGATTCTAACTGCTTAAATCTTTATATCACACAAACAAACAAACAAACAAAAGGTTCCCGAGTGGCGCAACCGTCTAAGTGTTGGCCCTATCATCAGGAGATCGAGAGTTCGATCCCTGGTGATGCTACAGTCATCCGTAGCCGGGAGTCCGAGAGAGCACAATTGGCCTCGCTCTCTCTGGGTGGGTAGGATGGCTGCCCTTCTCCCCGCATCACTCACTCAGCGCGATGCTAGTCAGCGCAGGCGTCTGTTAGCTGACGTAACAGATCTGGCGGTTGGCGCTTTCCTCCGAGCGCGTTCGGCTGTCCAGTGACGTTGCGTGAGCGCCAGCTCGAAAAGAAGCGGTGGTTGGCTTCACAGGTCTCAGAGGAAGCCTGTGTTAGCCTTCACCCTCCTAGCGTTGATAGCATCGCGTGACTGGGGGAGTCCTAACTAGCGGGGTGGAATTGGCGACGACTAAATTGGGGAGAAAATCGGGTAAAAATTTAAAACTATTGCTTATAATATTATTATAATCTATTGCTTGTTTAATTGCTGAGTGTGGGTCTCTATGCCTCTTTTTTAATCTTGTATTTTGGAGAGCCAACACACCATTAAGCACGTTTAATAAAAAGAAAAAAAGGCCTACCACTTAAGTGTTTGAAGTGTTATCTTAAATTGTAGCCAGCCATGCTTAAAATACTAAAAATATGTTTTTAAGGTGCAAACTAGTTTTAATTTCTAGAGTCTAGGGTTGGCTCGAACAACATTTGACAGGCTCTGAATACTAGCTGGTATCTCCAAACACTTGTTCTCAAAAATCACCCTTAAAAACAACGTTTGAGGCCTTTTTTCAGTCACCTGTCTTGACGGAATAGAAGCGCTTCCATGTTAATCGGTGTTTCGGTCCACACTGAATTATTTACTTAACTGTGATGATATTACTGCCATTGTATTTCCAGAGCAGCTCTTGTGGTGTACCAACAGTTGTTGAGCTACTCGGACACCAACTGTGGCAAAACCTTGTGACCATTGTTTTGTCGCAATAAACAGATCTGCAGTTTGTGCTGTCAAATAATCTGCTGTGAAACTGTTTATTAGAGAAGGAAAGGAGTAAAGAAAAGACCTAACACTCCCACCTGAAGTGGTTATGTGACCGAGCTTAGTCAGAAGGAGTGCGTGTCATGTTTTAGTGTGAATCCAGCCTAAGATCACTACACTTACTTAGTGATGACTCAAACTTAGTGTGCCTCCATGTTACAGCAACCTCTCATTGCAAATTCCGCACTGAGCATTTTTAATAGTCTCATCATTTAAAGTGCTCCTACACACGATTCCTCAGACAGCTTTGCTGTTTCAGCTTCAATGGTCATATCAAAAGAGTCGAGGTGACACAGATACTCGACATGAATTTATAATGCATTCAACTACAGCAGCTATTATTGTATTACATTTGACATTTTCCATAAATCACCAATAACTATTCAATCTAAAATCCTTTGCTGTTGAAATTTATTGTATTTTTCAATACAATTTTAGTGGCTTAAGAAAAGACAAAGCTTCCAAATACTAGCGAAACAAGTACTAACATAAATAATTGAGCATTCAAATAATTCAGCCCAGCCCTACTGGAGTCCAGTGTTTATTAGCCTTTTTATCAACCTCAGGTCAAAAATAAAACCTTCTTATTGACTGAAGAAAATCTTTAGTCCTAGACAGCCCTAAACACTACAATGCGAAAGTGAAAGAAAGGACAACGGCAGAAAAATAGGCAGAGAAAAAACACATACAGTCTTATTTAAAGCAAGTGCTGCTGTTGCCACTCACCCACACACTCCGTCTTTCTTAGCCTCTGGCTCCGGGAGCTTTTCTGGAGCATCAGAGTTACAGGGGTGTCCCTCTGTGGGGGTCTCCCCGTCTCCCTCCTCCGCAGGAGGCTCCTGAGCCTGAGCTCCCTCACTGGAGGAGGTGGCCTCCTTGTTCCGGAGCTGAGGGGGAGGGAGGGGGGGGGAGGAAAGGTGAGAATAAGTAGCACTCTGGTAAACTATTTTAAGGGTTCTAATTAGGCTACAGAAACACACACTAAAAAAAAAGGGTGAGAGATCATTAATCAGAAGGAAGAAGAGGAAAAAAGTTACTGCACATGAGAGAGAGAGAGAGAGAGAGAGAGAACAGAAAAGGAGAACACAGCTGCAACAGTCAGAGTCAACAGCATTGATTATAGAAAAAATATCCATGTGGTTTCCACTGTGGAAGCATCATCTTAAATAAATAAACAAACAAACAAACAAACAAACAAATAAACAAATGGATACTGTAGATTTCAATACAGAATGGGAAGCACGGGGCAATATACAAGGAGATTCACTTGAAAGAGGCCCTGAATATTCTGTAATAACTCTCTCTAGGACGAAGCAATCTGAACGAAACAATAAGCCGGGATGCCCCGCGTCGGAGCTCTGAGGTAGGTGCCGGACAGCCGTCGCATTGGTTAATCCCCGTTTGCAACTTCTGGGTGCATACCCCCGTGCTCCTTCAAGTGGCAGAAAACGGAGATCACTTCCAGCACCACATGTAATGCAATCGATTACACATACATCAAGGTATGTAGCGTATTTTTTTGGTTCAGACTGCTTCACCCTAACAGGAGTTACTACAGAATATTCAGGGCCTCTTTCGAGTGAATCTCCCTCGATCCTCGTTCCTACTGTTACCTTGCACCATAAAAAATAAAAATAAAAATAAAAATAAAAAAAAAGCTTTGAATGACAGCAGCAGGAAATTAAGAAGAACATAAGAAGTAAATTCAATTAATTAATTAACTGATGAATAGTGGATAGGTTCATCGATTATATAAATAAATCATGACTGGCCCTAAAAGAGAACACACTAGTGTTTTCCCTATTTTTAAAAAAACAGTTATATTAAAATATAAAGGAAGTGCATCTCGACTAATTTTATTAATTTTGTGGTTTTGTTCAGCCGACATTAAAGTGCTGTAGGTTACCTTTTTAATTGACAGCACAAGGAATATGTTTTATATTTAAAAATAGCTGAGGGAACACTAAGAGTAACAGAAGCTGCCAATTCAGATGAGCTAATGAACTAACCGCCACAACACTGGGTGCTGATGGGGACTCGTCATCTTCTACAGGTGTATGATGTGTCAATATCATGTTTCTGGACTTAGCCAACATAAGCTGGAATAGATCGAGCAACTCAGCCCTACATTAAGGCATTTGTTTTTTTTTTTTATGTCATTCAAAGAAAGAGTAATTTAAACACTCACCCGCAATTATGAGTGAAACAAATTTTACTGTGTTAAAACATAAAATCAGCGTTTAACTAAACTGTTACACTTTAAAAAGAGATGTGATAAATAACACACTTGTGTTTCCTGTTTTAATACTTTTTGTGTCATTTGTTTTCTGATTGAACACAAACTGTGTTAAAAGTAACAAAATATGTTTTGCCTAACTGGGCACAGAAATATTTCAACACCTTTTGTAATGAAAGTAACACACAATGTGTTACATCCAACTAAACACACTGATGTGTCTCGTTAGAGACTGAATACGTTGTTTTTTTTATCTGTTTTAAGAGTGTAGTTTGTACGTTTTCTCCATCTATCGGTGACGAAATGAACTGAATATACAAACTGGGATTTCAGCATCTCAAACAGCTAACCGAATTCTCGGGCACCCGTGTGCATCCTTAATAAATATAATAATAAAAAATAGTAGAAATTCACAGACATTGGTACACTGGCAGGCTGTTAGTTTTGTAGCATTTTTTGTTCTACACATTCACGTTTTTACATTTCCAAGAGTAAAGATGCAATTCAGAGCAGCGGCGTGTAGCCAGCTCAATTATAACGTCTGCTCTAGCTTTCTGACCTTAGATCACAGTCAGCTTTATTCACATATTTTTGGTCCTTAAAGTAAAACATTTTCCGCAAATTGAAAGATTAATTTGTGGCAGTTCTGTTGAAATTTCATTAAAAAGAGAAAACTTGTGGCATGGTGTGTCTCTGCAAACATCCAGTAGGGGGCGCTCTCGCTGGTTCTCTCATCAAACAGATAAAAGCAATCAACTTCCTACAGCATTATTCAGCCTTAAGAATCAAAAGCAGATCTGTTTTGGCTTTCAGATACGCTGTGTCCAAAACGGTGCCCTATTCACTATATAGTGCACTATTTCAGGATTTCACCATTTTGTAGTGTTGCAGCAGATCCAGCGCATTCAAACAATCCCACAATGCACAGCAATAAGTAGTGTAGAACCAATGTACCCTAGCAGGCAGGGAATACCCATAATGCACCGTGTTGTTTGTAAGTAATAAGCAAACCCGTATAAACATCAGCGTCTGAATCGCTCACTACCATCACGAATTCTGCTCCTATATTAGCGATCCAGATTTTCAGATGTAGGGTTTAGTGATTAGGGGATCATTTCGGACAAAGTGACAGACCTCAAAGTTGGATTAAGGAGCTAATAACACTATTCTTTTACATTTCTATAGAAATACATGCAAACTTATTCTTTGAACTGGAACTGTAAAGGATTCAGTGGCACATGACTTTTCTAAAAACAAACAAACTATAAACAAACAACTCAATTACAAATGCATTTCCTGAAAATAAATATGTGGAGGATGTAAAATGTATTCACAATAGAGTTGTCTGTTCCCAGTATATCTGTGTTTTTAAATAATTCTTTGTGAAGATACTACAGCCCTGTTTGTGCTTGATGATACCACACTGGCACAACAGCTCTAGTAGCTTTAAATGGTCTACAACCTGGTGTGAAAAAGAAAAAAACAAAGAAAAAAACCCAGGAAACACCGCATACCATCCCACACAGTCCGTATCTGGATGCGCTAAAAGGAGAACTTACATTTCCTCTCAAAGGGCGCAGATCTAAATCCCTGTTTTAGGAGCCGGGGCACAGAGCTCGCTTTAGCAGGCTTCAGCGCTGCACAGCTTCAGGGCTCCAAGAGAAATATCCAAATTCATCACCACAGAAATACAGCTTAAGCTTTACTTTACATTCCCATTAAAGAGAAGCGAGAGAGAGGAAAGAGTCAAGGCCACAGTAACAGGAAAACACTACTTTCATCAAGTGACTCCAGTTCATCAGCACAGATGGAATCTTATGGTAATGTGATGGTCACATGACGACAGACACTGAGGTCAGCTCAAGGGCATTAATAAAGTTATCTGTAATCAACGTTCACCAGCATTTGTAATCACCAGATCTCCATAATCGGAATCAGACAAGACTGGAATTGTCAGATTTCTTGCAATGCAATTAGACAAATTTATTACTTGAATGCAGATAATACACCTGCACTAATCATTACATAAGTATGCATGACTCACTGCGCTAAACAGCCAGTTGCCTCTTACTTTATTTGATTCATATTATTAAGGTAGCTCTAAACAGCCATGCTTAAATCAGGGTTATAACAGTTAACTAAGACTATTACTAAAATGAAATCTAGCAATCAAAAAATGTAATTGTTACTTGTAAAAAATGAATAAATAAATAAATAAATAAATACAACAATACTTATCAAAAAGAAAATCAAAACTATAATGTCCACTGCTAAAATGAAACAATTACTGGGAAAAGATTTAGTGCGCTGAATGAGAGCTCAGACGTGGATCCCCTCTGTGTTTTATGAAAAGCTGGAGTCAAGCTGAACTCAGTCTACTGTTGTGTTAATTTTACTGTACTCTAATCAAAAACCCACCATCACAGCGTTCATAGTAATGCTAGAAACTACACTGTTATATTTCAGAAAATAACGACAAAACTAAAACTATTAATGCACCCTTAAGATGAACTGAAACTAACCAGAAATCAAAACAAAATTAAAAATAAACGACTAATGAAAATTTCAAAATTATAAACCTGGTTTGAAAAAGATTTGTGAGCGTGAACAACATTGTAACCCTTCATATCTTGCACAGGTTCAATACCAATTTCAGGGCTCTTTCTGGAACCTTTATATTATGTGGACGTTTTCTTACACATCTCATTTGCTAAAACGGTTTCCCAAGAACTATCCACTGAAATCGGTTCTTCTATTGCAGTGGTTCCCAACCTGGTTCCTAGGACCCCCTCACACAGTGCACATTTTCCTTCATCACTATTTGTTGCGAGTTGGGTTGGAGCAAAAACGTGGACCATCTGGGGGTCCCTGAGGAACAGTTTGGGAACAACTGTTCTACGTCATTGTGGAAAAAATAAACTTTAAGCACCTTTGTTTTTAAGAGTGAACATACTGGAAGTACATGGTGTTCATTTCAAGTTTAAAAGAAATGCTAAACACTGTGTCCAACAGATCCTCAGTAAACACTGTGCATTTCAGTTTGAATTCTAATAAACAATTCTGAAGGTGATGTACTGTTCATCGCCTCTGTTGTGGAGATTCAATGTAAATCAAGTGTAGGTAATAAACACAGTGCACACAGTCGATATCTAAACTGTTACCTTCGGTTGGCGGCGATTCCATGGCATGGGTGCCTTCTTCACCAACACGGCCACGAAAAAGCCACCTGTGTTCTGGTGATGAGGCAGGATCCTCATGCTGCAAGCAGACACACACACACACACACACACACACACACACACACACACACACACACACACACACAGAGTTAGGCAATTAAAATGTCATAACCCGACCTAAACAGACAGGCTAAAGGAAAACAGACAGACAACAGCACATTCGCTATAATAAAACCTCCAGCACTGCACTGCATCCAACATCACACATCCAGCCAAGAGAACAGCCTCCTCAGTAGGGCTGGAGCGCCCCCTGGTGGAGCACATTCATTTTAACAGATTAATGATTCCTCCTGTTTGTCAGGGGTCGGTACACAGTATGGAAGCAGTGTAGTTTCATTCTTAGAGGTTCTGCCCGCAGAGTTACACAGGGTGATCTACAGTGAACACTAAGATGTCCAGTCACTTTTAGCGGATCTAATTTAAAATAAATTAATTAATTAAATGATCACATGAATAAAATCAGCCAAAAATCAGCCTAAAATCAGTACCTCATGTTTGACAAGGTTACTGCCCCTGTTGTCACAGACCTATAACTTGTGATCAGTGTGAACTCCAGCAAATATTTCAGTGGACGAAGCACTTGACAAAAATACTGGAGCAAAGAATTATGGTCATAATTTGGTAATATTTCAGTGTCACACATGAACACGAACCAGTGTCATGCTGCATTTAGGTAGATGATATTTTGAGTTTCAATTACACTGACTATCTATTAACTGTCTAAGCAGTGAATCGACAACATTGTTTAGTCAATGATTAAAACAGTGCTTAAAAACAAATAAACAGAAGACCCCCATTTCAAGTTAAAAACCGATAATGTCTTATTTGTTTGGAATTTGTGGTGTTGCTCGAAAGTGAAAACGTTTAGCTCATCTGCAGAACAAATCACTTCGAACTAATCTGCTCACAAAATTCAGGTCTGAAGACAAAAAAAAAAATCAGGTAAAATACCTCATGAAAATTCAGGGTTCTTCTGTGGACAAATATTTTAAAAAATATTTAAGAGGTTTTTTTTTTTCCTTTCAACTTACACTTATTTATACAAGCAATTGACAAACAAATGTAAAATATATTCTAAATATATTAGAAAAAAGATGTTCGAAATAAAACAGTTGCCCCCATTTACTCAGGTTAGTTTGTTTATCCAGACCTTTATAAGCAAGAAATTTAAAGTAACTGGACTTTGGCAAGTTTTAGTTGAAGACCCCTGCCCTATACTTTTGTGAACCAGAGCAAACCAGCTAAAGTAGGCAGCTAATATTATGAGACATGACTGTGACAGAGCAACCAAGACAGAGCCTCCCAGAAAGATCGGTCCATTTAATGTGTTAGATTAACTACAACATTAAATCCCACTCCAAGCAAAGAAAAACAAAAATGGAGGAGAAGAAGAAGAAGAAAGATTAATGATGGCTGTCAAACTGAGTTAATAACCTGACTGGTCTGTTTTGCCAGACTAGTAACACAGAGAGAGAGAGAGAGGGAGAGAGAGAGAGTGCATGTCTGAGCTCACCATCTCTCCAACTTCATGCTCTGCAGCTTTTCCGGGTCAGTCGGGGGGAACATGGTGGGTCTGATCTGGGTATGTCGACTCGTGGGCACTTCAGACCAGTCAGAATACCACTGACCCTCTTTGGTCATCAGCTGGACATTAGAGGACATGAGGACATGAAGAATTAACAACAGTTTGCTCCTCATCAAATACAAACAGCACGCAGGAGATTCAAGTCACTCGGCTTCAAGTTGGTACTGAACATTTGACAGCTCAGTAAACAGTACTGTGTGTATGTTTGTTACCATAAGCGATCCAAATATGAACTGTGAATAAATGTCCTTCAAGTGTGGTAGTTAACTGAGCAAATACCTTCCAAGATGTGATTCCTGGCATGTACTTCAGGCCTGGCAGGTCAGCTGAGGCGTCGACCAGCTCTAATGTACCTGAAAGAGGCAGGGGACAATAAATGACCATATGAACTTGCCCATCTAACAATATATCTGCCACATGCTTTTCAAGCTTCTGTCACTCTTAAGGCTGTTAAAGACCGAACATGAATACTTACGACATGAATAAATGCAAAAATGTAAAATATTCTATATAAATCTTTTCACACCTAAACTGCGCACAGAATATATTCATATGAAAAAAGACAGGGAGCACAAAAAGAGCAAACAGTAACACTGGGACGGTCGCTTTTCTTTTCAGAAAAGGGAAAGAAGCACAGAGAGTTTCAACGCCTCATCCAGGCTTTCAGATACAGCTCAGAATCCAACAGCTTTTAGGGATTCGGCACCATACGTGACAAAACAGAAGACAAACAAATCTAAACTAACTGACATTTGGAAATAAAGCACTGGATTTGTAGCATTTTTAACATCCAGAATATCCATTTTAGTGTGCAAAGCATCAGCAGATATACACACCCAAATTAATTTGAGGACGTCCAAAAAAAGATTACACAATAAACCTCGCTCTGTGTGTAAAGAGCTTTACAGTGGAATAACCAAGACAAATTTTGATATCTGAGTATTTGTAAAAGTTAATGAACGGATGTCTGGTTAATCTTGGGGAGTTAACTGCGAAGCCACTAAATATTGTGGCCAGAATAACAGGGTACTGTTATCATAGCATATATACACTGTATTGACAATTAAAGGAAAGGCTGAATTTCTGTTTATTTATTTACAACCTCATTTCCAAACAAGTTGGGACGCTGTGCAAAATGTAAATAAAAACAAAGTGGACTGATACGCAAATCATTTTAAGCCTATATGTAATTGAAAACAGTACAAAGACAACTGACCAAATGTTGAAACTGAGAAATTTTATTGACTTTTGAAAAATATATGCGCATTTTAAAAACACATTCCAAAAAAGTTGGGATGGGGGCAACAAAAGGCCGGTAAAGCTGTGTAATGCTGAAAGGAACACCTGGTGGTTGATTGGCAACAGGTCAGTAACATGATTGGGCATAAAATGAGCATCTCAGAGAGGCTGAGTCTTTCAGAAGTAAAGATGAGGAGGGGTTCACCACTCTGTGATAGACTGCACGATCAAATAGTGCAACAATAAAGCTTCACAATATAAAATAGCAAAGAATTTTTGCTTTTCATCATTTATGGTACAATAACATTAAAAGATTCAGAGAATCTGAAGAAATCTCTGTATGCAAGGGACCAAAACAAGTTTTGTCTGGCCCTGATTTTTGGTCCCTCAGGCGGCACTGCATTAAAAACAGACATGATTCTGTAGTGGAAATCACTGCATGGGCTCAGAAACACTTCTGAAAACCACTGTCTGTGAAAACAGTTCATCACTGCATCCATAAATGCAAAAAAAAAAAAAAGTTAAAACTCTAAAACACAAAGAAGATAAACAGTATATATACTGTTTATATAAACAGTGACTTTCTCTGTGCCTGAACTCATTTAAAATGGACTGAGGTGAAGTGGAAAAGTGTTCTGCGGTCTGACGAATCAACATTTGACATTTTTTTTTGGAAATCATGGACACTGTGTCCTCTGGGCTAAAGACCACTCAGCTTGTTATCAGTGCACAGTTTAAAACCCAGTATTCATGATGTTATAGGGGTGCATTAGTGCACATGGCATGGGTGATGTGCACATCAGTGAAGGCACCATTAATGCTGAATGATATACACATGCTTTGGCAACATCTGCTGCCATCCAGACGACGTCTTTTTCAGGGAAGGCTTTGATTATTTCAGCAAGATAATGTCAAACCACATTCTGCACATAGTACAGCAGCCTGGCTCCGTAGTAAAAGAGTCTGGGCAATAAATTGACCTGCCTGCAGGGCAACATTTGGCGCATTAAGAAATGAAAAATGACCCCAAACTGTTGCACAGCTGAAATCCTGTATCAAATAAGAACGAGAACTACAGCAACTGGTCTCCTCAGTTCCCAAACGCTTACAGAGTGTTGTTAAAAGAAGAGGTGATGCAGCACAGTGGTAAACAAGCCCCTGTCCCAACTTTTCTGGAACGTGTTGTTGACATCAAATTCAAAATGGGCATATATTTTTCAATTTCAACATGTCTCAGTTTCAACATTTGACATGTTGTATTTGTAGTATTTTCCTTTAAAAATATGGTTTACATAATTTGCATATCATTGCATTCTATTTTTATTTACATTCTGCACAGCATCCCAAATTTTTTGGAAATGGGGTTGTACTTTTTGTTCAAGTGATGGGTTCGACGCAGCATGTAAAAGTTTCAAAACATGACGCTCCATAGAATCCATATATGGAAACTAAGCTGCAAAAACAGTCCTTCTTACAATTTTTATTTACGTTTATCTTCGTTCAGCCCTGTCCTTTCTATATTCTATATTAGCTGTTGAGGTGATTACAGTTAATGAATGCACAAAACACAAAAAGATCCAAGGCAAGTGGCCACTCAGGCCACAAGCTCTGTATTTTCAGTGACCACACTTTGAAATGTTGCAGCCAAGGGCTGCCATACCTTCACTTTTCTCCAGCAGAGAGGCAATGACTGCTTCATCCTCAATAGGGTTCAGAGAACAAGTGGAGTAAACCATCCTGCCACCCACAGCCAGCTGCTCCACTCCGCGCACTGCTATCCTCAACTGCAGTCTGCCACACAAAAATAAACAAACACATCCTCCATCTAGGGCCGCACAATATATCTATAATGATCTCATAAGAGGCTGTAAATATGCAAATAAATCCTTTAAGAAACATCTAAAAAGTCCAGCGTTTACCTCTGAGCATCCTGAACTACACTACAGTTCAATGTCTTAGAACCACTCGTCACTGATGGTTGCTATTTTACTCAACTATAATTTAAACACCATAGACTAAATACTATATACATTTATAAATTTGTATTAATTTATAAATCAATCCAAGAAATCAGCTGAAACAGAGTAGCAGCATATGCTCCAATGATGTTTTGTTGATTTTGTGGGGGGAAAAAAGTGAACAAAAGTTAACACATCTACAGAGATGCAAAATTACTGCTTATTTGCTGACATTTGGGGGAGTTAATGTTAAACTCAAAATAATAAGACATTTTGCACTAAAATTTGCTGGAAAATACCATATTTAAGCTTCCACTCTGTAGAGGATATATATATATATTTTTTTAATTCAAGGTTTGCCAAAAAAAAAGTAAAAACAAAAATACAGGAATGAGGGGGAAAAAAATCAAACAGGAGAGGAAAACAGTTAAAATGTAATAATAAAATAAGATAAAGGCATAATTGTCAGATCCTTATTAATATGCAGTTTGTGCTGTTAGTACATTTGTTAGCGTTTACAGACTTGCTATAATAGGTCTAAATCTTGGTCCAAGTCATGATATGGCACTAGGACAGGGCGATTGTCCACTTCTATTTGACAGTCATCCATGGCCGTGGATACACACACTTTAAATACCTTCTGTGGTAAACCCAGATCTTCTCTGAGCCAAAAGCAACACGTTAACCGTGTGTCTCTCTTACCCATGCAGATGTAAGCTGTTGCTGGTTGTCCACTTTTTCCACACATCTATGTTCTTCCTCATTGTTCCGTCTCCACTGCAGACATAAAGGTGATGCTTTAGCTTTAAGGCAACAATTACAATACTGCAAACCTATTTCGACAACACAAATACCCAGAACACTGAGAATGCATGGCAGACATTATGTGTACATACAAGGAGTAATAAAAAGTTAAATCGTATTGCCTTTTTTTTTTTTTAGCTAATAAGTAATGGAAGCTTCTAAGCATCAATCAGCCTCAGTCATCCAAAACAGACTTGCATTTGTGGTTTCTGATAAATACAAAACAAATTTTATACATACATACATACATACACATACATATACATAAATAACATTACGCTGATAGATACGATGTTAATAGTAGATAATTCACACGTCTTTCATCAAGTTTTGACTGAGTTCTCTCTGAATTCTTATTCAACACACTCACAATCATCAGATTCATCCACTTGGGGAAGAGATCTGAAACACAACCACCAACACAAAGTTGTTCTGCATATTCTGTGCAATTACACATTTCCATTTGGAGGTCTCCAAATCCCCAAAACTTACGCAGTTCAGCTTTAAAAGATACCAGTGTAGATTTTTTTTTTGTATGTGGAAGAATTTGCAACCTCTGACATTTTTTCCTTCTGACTCGGTAATGCTACTTCTTCACAGCGCAGCTGTAAATGTTGCTACTCCAACAAATCAGCTCATTAACAACCCCCTTACTGAGCTGATGTGGATGTGTTAGAGCAGGGCAGGGTGTACTCCAGGACCAGGGTAGCGGAACATGTGCTTTAAGCACTTGGCTCTTCACATGTTTTGTATTTTACATTTCTGGGCAGGTCACTGCTGTGTCAGCTATTTTAATCTAGAAAACCATGAGCGCGTTTCCTGTGACCACATGAGTTCATATGCACAGCAACTACATTCCCATCATTTACATCTGCTCTTGGCTAAGAAAAGTATACATTTTTCTTCCTCTAGGTTGGCTATTTTGAGGTGAACTCTTCAAATCTGGCCGCAATCTAATCCTATACGGGTTTCAGAATAGCATGGCAAGCTATAATCACAGCTTTAAACTACAATTCAGATCATTCCACTAACACAGAAAAGCTTAAGCAGCAGAAGCAGCCTGACGATGCTGTGTGTAACGTGCTTGCCTTTGTCTGGTGGTCATGGTTGACAATGAATATGCTACGTTTTGCTTGGCATAGACCCCAGACCTTCACAGCTTCCTAAACCATGCACACAACTCCACTAGGTTACATGCAGTGAAGAATAAGGATTTCTTGAAAATGAAAACACTCCTGCTGTGAGTGTGTAAATGTATAAAAACCTGAACTTGTCATAGTCGCTTCATTGAAGTGCTTTTTCAGAAAACGCTCTTCTTTCAAAAACTGTAACAATCCATCACCATGAAAGCTGAAACTGTATTTTTTTATCTATCAAGAATCATACCTGATAAACCTCTCCCCATAATCTCTCCCATATCATCTAGTGTGCATGCTCTTATAGTTAAAAAAGAAAGAAATTCTATAAAAGATGGATGTTAAGTGTGAGATGCTCTCTGTTTTAAAGTCTGTTATTCTATAAGTCATGTAGTGCACACCCGGCTAGAGCCACATGAGCAGAGATCCAATCTGAATCAGATTTTTAAAAACATCAAGGCTGAAACTGATTGGAAAAAGCTGAATGTTTTTGCCATTCAGACTACAGAAAATCTTGCTTAAATTAAACGTGCCACAAAATCAGTTTCTTGTCTGAACAAAGTTTCAAAGTTCGGTGGCACTTTTTGTGTAAGAGCAAGAAAAACATGTCGCCCCTGTCTCACCTGCAAGGCACGTCACACAGCACTCTGTCGTAGAACAGGATGTCTTTCTCGCCGTTTTGCTCCACCAGCAGGCGTGGGATACAAGAGGCATCATGGTTAACCACCATGATACATGGACTGTTCAGCCTTTTAGCCTGGTGCACCAGCAGGTAACAGCGCTTATTATCCACATCATTGGCAATTACAAAACCCTCTGTACACAGAGAAAATAAGAAAGAGAGGAAAAAACTCCATTACACTGAGTTACAGACTAAAGATTTAGTTGTGGGTGGTAGAACGCAGCAGTCTCTCGATCACCTCCAGCTTTAGCCTAACATGGACACCAGGCTAACTGATACAGTCAGCTGCATCAGACCGTGTTGCAATTTCACTGTCTTGTCTGTACGACAAGCCGTGGACCAGCTGGTACTGATAGTGTTGACTAACATTTTTCAAAATCCAGCAGCGTCTGACACACATGAGACAAATGACTTGAGAAATTCGATAAAGCTAAAGTTGGATTCTTATTCGAATTTCCCGTTCCACCTTAAATGGTGCAGCAGCTGCACTGAAATCTGTACAGGTGAATGTAACTGCTTCTTCATATAAGGTGGGACAGGAAATTCAAACAAAAAGCTGCCAAATTAAAAGCCAAAGTCAGCTTTGTAGAAGTTCAAACATGTCCTAACATTGCCCCCATTTTTGCCAAAAGGCAGTATTTACACTTGGTTTATTTATGTATATTATTCTACATACTATACATTTATACATAGTTCAGTTTTCTTTTTACAATTTTGCACAATAAAAATATTTCAGCTTAACTTTGGTTGTTAAAAATGGTGTTTTTTTTAAGTGAAGAGACATCCTTCAATAATACGCCAAATTATTATCATCACCAAATATAAGTTTATTTGAGAATCTAAAAAGGTTTTTAACCTATATATTTACATGTATGTACACACACACACACACACACCATGATGCATACAGAAACATTAAAAAAATTTTATTACACAATGACACACATTTTTGGCCACCTCACCCACTACTACCCAGAGTAAAATGGATCACATAAAATCAAGCAAGTCATTTCCTTACCAGGGAAAGGCACATCCATATCAGCATGGAGCATCTCTATGAGCTGAGCAGTCTTTGATCCTGGAGCAGCACACATGTCCAAAATCTGTGCATACAACACAAACAGTATAGAACTTAAAAGAATACAAACATAAACCAATAAATAAATATGTTTACAATTGGGTAAAAACCCTTTTGCAGGCAAAGAGTACCTTATGTTGAGGCTCTATTTTCAGCAGCAGAGGAGGAATCATACTGACAGCCTCCTGCCTGCTTATATTCCCCTGAGGACAAAGACAGGATTTTACAAGATGACATAGTACTAATGAGCCAAAAGCAAACTGATAAGCACAGACATGGGGTACATTTACAATAAAGGGTTGATTGGGCACAAATCATCTCCGCTCAAATGTGACAAGGATATGATTTTTGCACAGCTGTGTGAACACAAAACTGATCTTTTTAAATCAGATTTCAGCCACTTTCACACATGGTCTCTGATTGGACACACATCTCATAAATGCAAACTTATTGATGCAATTTTATTTAAGCAAAAATGACTGCAATGTCAATGCTGTATTAATAACCAAAATTTCTACCTAAACAGTTAAGATGTACACAAAGTTATTAGAGTGGTTTGGTGTTTTGGAGTCAGAAGAGTTAAACAAGAGTTTAATGCCTCTAAAAGCTCCATCACCAAACGTTATTACCTGAAATGATTATGAATACTTGACACGATGCTTGAAACATTGTTCTACAATAGTTCTGAGATAAGACTTCGGCCAAAAATGTGTTTATTTTTAAATCTATATAAGGGATAGAGGTTCATGTGGAGTGTTACAAAATGGCAAAATAGTCCCAAAAGAGTTTTATCCCTCATGTTTACCACTATTTTTCCATTTTCAGCTTTGCATGTAAAACCTCAAAAGACACATGAAGGTTTACCGGCTGTTTTGGAAAATAAATAAAATGGATATATTTGCACTGTAAACATCACAACTCCTGGTTCCTATCACCACCACAGTAAAGCATCAGTAAGGTTCTCCACAATGAGCCACTTCAAAACAAACCACACTGATTGACTATTTACATCTCAACAACTGAAATATGCAGAAAGTTTGGTGGAATTGCCCTTTAAGGGGCCTGATTAATCTCCAGAACACCCAGTACTACAGTGAGACTGCAAATCAAACTTACCGATTCAGTCTCGCTGACTAAGAACTGGTGGAATTTCTCCAAAAGCGGAGACTTCCGCAAGATCTTTCTGCTCATGTTGGTGTGCCAAGCCAGTTCATCAGGGTACCTGTGATACCACACAGATATCAAAATAAAACTGGTCACATTGTACAAAAACTGTTGAAAACTGAACTTTGATATTCTTAATATTCTTACCAACTTAGAGCCTGTGGGGCTTCTATCTTCTGACCATCTATCTCCAGGTCCTGGATCTCCTTGAAGTATTTCTCTTTCAGGGTGTGAAGGATCTCTTTTGCATGGCTAATATTTAAAATATAGAGTTGGTTGAGTTATATTTTAACATTTTCAAGTCACAGTCGTTGATGGATATTGAGCAGAAAAGGTGCTCAAAGGAGATCTCGCTCCATCAGTTAACACTAGATGATATCCAGTCATAGATATTACAAACTGCCTTAGAAATATGCCTGATGTTAATGAAAATAACAGCAGATCAAAATAAAGATTTGAGCATTCAAATGAATCTTCACCTTTTATAACCAGTGATTCGTATGGTAGCCGGCAGCGGCTCCCTCATAGCTTCCATGAACTGCTCAAACTCTCCTTCTGGTACAATCTTCAGCTCCTGGTAGTAGTGCTCAAACAGCTTGTTCTCCTTGATGATATCGGCGTAACCTGCGCCCCAACCCTGTCAGGAGAAACACAATTATCTATACAGCACATGAAAAGATACAGATTATGCCTATAAACAGGCCTTATAACCAAACAAACTAGGGTGTCAAGGTGGTACTGCATTTCATGTAATATGATATGGCTTTGATGATACATACATCTACTTAACTCTATTTGATACAATACTACTTTTCCCCTCACAGTCTTTACATTCAGGCTAGTTCTTAATGCATTTTTGTGTCTAACTTCAACACAAGAAATGTCTAAGTTTCTTTACAATTAACTATTTCACATCACACTACCCTGAATGACTGTTTATGTCTCAACATGTTTGGCAGCTTGTTTCAAGCTTTTTACTTATATTTGAGTCATTATTCAACTGAAGTAAGTCAGCAAAATTTGAATGTTAAGTTACTTGCATGATTTTATTCCAGTCTACTCACCTTCGCTGTAAACTCATATCTGATTTACTCTAACAAAAATTTATAATTATTAATATTTCATGAGTTTATGGCCTGACATTTCTCCACCTTTACTTCTACAGTTATAAGTATAGTTATAGATTTATTAATTTATTAAAGCTGCACCACTGTTATTAGAGGATGGGGTAAGGTAGGCTGATCTATCCAGGTCTTTTCCATTTATAAAAGCACCTGAACACTAACAGCAGTAAACAAACCCCCTTTAACTCCACTGATCAGCTCTCTGAGCCGACTCTAAGCACAGTGTGGACCTGCTGTAAGTCCGCTGTCTGTATTTTGTCCATTTTCCCAAACAGACTCTCTCTCCTCTCTGAGCTGCTGTAAACCAGCCAGCCAGCTAAACTCACTCACAGCATCTCTGCTCCGTTTGCCCTCCGCGCCTCCGTCTCTCTGTCTGTTCCTGTTCCTTTTGCCCATCCTGGGGAGACACAGAACCCTGGACAAAAACCTCCGAAGCGTCTTTAACCAAAACTCCTCTGAACAGAGAGTGAACTGAACTGAAGCTAAGCTAAAGCTAAACTCATGTGCAGCTCACACAAACTCAACACGCCGAGCTGAAGGGCCCTGGGGTGGCCGCGATCTCGCCTGAATTATATTCTTGAACGTCCAACAAGATTTAAAATAAATATTTATTAAATTTATTATTGTTGTTGTGGTGGTCGTAGTAGTTTTTGTTGTTGTTTTAATGTTTGATGTTTGTGCATAATAAAAAATATATATACAAATAATAATAATAATAATAATAATATACTTGTAATTACGTACTTATGATAAAAAATAATCTTATTCATGTATGTTTACACTGCTGTATGCACTGTTCTTGGTTTGTATCTGATGCTGTGTATTATTTGTTTAGATTTTTTTTTTTCAATTTAAAAATAATGGCTATTATTGTTGTTATTAGAAAAAGAAGAAAAAAAATAATGATAATAAGAAAAGGTAGAGAAAGAAGAAGAAGAAGAAGAAGAAGAAGAAGAAAAAGAAGAAGAAGAATTGGTGTAATTCATATTATTATTATTATTATTATTATTATTATTAATATTATTATTATTGTACACTATTACTACTACTTCTACTACTACTGCTACTAATAATAATAATAATAATAAAATATTATTCTAATGATAAACTCCGTCTTCTCCTCCCCTCTCTCTCTCTCTCTCTCTCTCTCTCACACACACACACACACACACACACACACACATATTATTTATCGATCCATACTGAACTCTACACACTGTTATCTGCAGTAATGCACAGTGTACTTTATGACCAATGATCTCTGCTCTTTGTACAGCATAGCACAAGTAATTTTAACTGAACTTTAAGTTCGCTTATTCATGTCTTTCTTTTTTATTCATGTTTTTGTGAACGGAGAATTATCAGAGCAATAATATCACTGTACATGTGTAAGTCGATGGCGTAAACGGATATATGTTTCCTATTGGCTTACGATAAATGAAATGCGTAATCCGTTCCTTCTATTGGTGCAGTTCGCGGCATAAGCCCCGCCCATCCTGTTTGTGATTGGTGGACACATGGGAAGACAGTGCGGTGGCGTGTGGGCACCAATTTCGTAACCAATACAGCTCTGTTACTAACTGAGCGGAGCTTTTATTCTCTGCTGCTTCTAAAACACTCAGAATTCAGTATCTTTATTATTATTAAAAAAGCAGAGGTCACCTTTGTTTTTCAAAGCAATCATGGACACAATTCTCCAGCACCTGTTTTCTTCTGAGGAGGAAGAACTTTATATTCTGGACTGTTTATCGTACCTCATGATGCTCATGGCGTTGGTGACGTTTCTGGCGTTGCTCTTTGAGAACGTGCCTTATGGGAGATACTCGGACAGGAGATATGGATTCCCAGTGAGTGTCAGAGTCGCTTGGTTTATTCAGGAGCTGCCTGCTTTAGTCGTGCCTTTGGCTTTAGTGTTGTGGACTTCAGCATCCAAGACAGTGCATCTGCCGAACCAGCTGCTTCTAGCCATGTATTTTTGCCATTATATTCAAAGGTGAGCTCTCCTGTGTTGTGTGTGGGGATGGGCGATACCACTTCTCTGTTTTCGATGCGATACCGATTATTATCAAAGCTAATACACCGATATTAGCACCGATACTGCTGCTTTTAAGTCTTTTGTGCGGACAAAAACGGTAAATCTTTATGATTTCTGCTGTGAAAAGTCATAAATGCAATATTTCTGAAAGTCTTTGCATTAGTCTTCACTACACTGGGCTGGGTTTCCCCGAAATCTTTTAGCAAAGATTATTCTTAATGATGGAAAGAGCATCACCCTGAACACCTGCTCTACCACGTAAAGGAGAACTCCACTACTTTTGCAGAATTTCTACATAATTCACTTATAAAGCTGTAAATGAAGTCATTCAGAGCGCTTTGGTGTGAAATGCATCATTCTAAAGAAACCTGCAAAGTCCGAATTTCTCCGAATGGCGATGATAGGAACCAGACATCCGAAGCATTTAGCGCATCTAAAAGCCGTCACAGAAAGTTATTACATGAAATGGTTACACATATGCTGTGTGATGCCTGAGACACTGTTTTAATACAGTTTTGCTGTAAACATTTGGCCAAAAACACAATTTTAAAATCCATTCATGGCGGATGGGTACATGCAGGGTGTTGTAAGGCAAAATAGTCCCCCAAGAAAACCTTATTTTGCAGTTTTCCCACTATTTTCTCATTATCAGCATTACATATTAAAACTCAGTAGACACGACGTTGATGCCCCCGTGCACTGAGTTTAAATAAACAGTGTGCTTCTTTCAGGTCTCTCATTTATCCGTTTTTAATCCGAGGAGGGAAACCCACACCGTTTGCTTCCTTTGCCCTGGCGTTTGTTTTCTGCATCTATAATGGCTATCTGCAGGTCAGATACCTGAGCCACTACGCAGAGTTCCCCTCTGACTGGGTTACACATCCCTGCTTCATCACAGGTGGGTAATGTATTAGCAGGTGCTTAAGACTGCAGGCCTGCTGTCTGACTTTTAGTACAGTTGCCTGGAAAACAAAAGACAGTGCAGTAGTGCTTGTGTGTGCAAATGTTTTTGCACCCCTAGTCAATGTTACATGTCTGTTGATTACCTCAGTGAGAATAAATACACATCCTCTACAGAGGACACACTTTGCTCTTCACTTTTTGATGTACAATGATTGTTTATTTGCTGAATTTAACATATTGGGGAAAGATAAAACATGAAATATGGCATGTGCAAAAGTTGTGGCACATTTTATGTTTTATGATTTATTTTTTTCAAATAAAAATAAATAGAAATAATGCATGCACAAACACACACATACACACACACATATATATGTGTATATATGTATATATGTTATATATGAAGGTAAAAACATACTTAACTTTCAAGGTAAGTCAATGGAACCAGACTTTTTTAAAGGGCAACAGTTATTTTCAAATTATGTCAAAAACTACATATATATATATATATATATATATATATATATATACATGCCCACCCAAAACTTTGGATACTCCCAGTCAAATTTCACATTTTATTGATTATAAAACAGTTATAACACATACTCTGCTCCTCATGACTGCTCCCATAAGGCTAGCTGTTACTGTAATTCAGATGTTAAGCTTTAGTTTTTGTTTTTTTCTATACACAAGCAAAAATGATCCCAGCAGTCTGCTTCTGATGGAGAGATATTGTGCCCTCATTTTGTTACAGTTGATGGATTTTTAATTAATTCTCATCTAGGGTCCTGTCTGTGGCTCTTTGGATGGATAATTAATATTCACTCTGATCATATTCTGAGGAACCTGCGCGCTCCTGGAGAAACAGGATATAAGATTCCAAGAGGTAAAACACTGTTCTAGCCTATCACACCATATTTTTTCTGCATTATGATCATTTACATTCAGTAACAATTCAGCATGTGTAAGTCTGTTTGGTTGAACTGAATAAGCTGTCTCTTTATTGTTACTCTACAGGTAGTCTGTTGAGCTGAGGCTGAAAGAAAATTTGTCAGATTAAAATTCCCTTAGCAAGCAGTTTTCAGCGTTTAATGCCAATGAGGCTGACTGCAGTTAAATTCATTAGTATTTTGCTTTGTGATAATTTACATTCAGTTAAAATTCCATGGTGAACCTTTACTTTTTGGAATAAAATGATGGATTGGACTGCAGTCAACATCTGTCAACGTATCTCTGGTGTTAATGACTAAAAATTGATGGCCAGGAGAGTTTTATGCTGACTAGTCTCATATTCATAAGCTATGTAGGAAAACTATGAATTACTGTCTTACTGATATTTGACGTGAACGGTTCAACACAAATGAGCTGTTGTAAAGTCTGATATTTCAACTTGTAACTTAGAGAGAGTAATTAAAATAAAATTCATATCTTGAGTGATCACAGAGGGTCTCTGAGCTAGCTGAGCATTTTCCCTCAGTGATAGGTGGAGGTGGGGGTAATATTATTGGTTGACATTGTAGAGGCGAGCAGAAGTCATTACACTTTGAATAAAGATTACAGAAAAGTAATTATGTAAATATGGTATGATGAATTGTATTTAATATGACAAAGGAACAATCTAACGAGGTAAAAAAAATCCATATTGATTTCACATTGACTGTATAAGTGTTTAGAAATGTTCTTATGTATGATGTTTCTTTGGGATTCCAGTGTGTTTGGCTATTTGTTACACACTTAAAACTTATAGTTCTTTAAGGGTTCTATATAGGACCATGAACACTCAAGGAACCCTTTGCGTGATTAACCCTTGTGTGGTGTTCAGGTCTGTGGGACCCATTTTCAGTGTTTACCAAAAGAAAAAATAATGTGATTTATTATTATTTCAACCTCAAATTCCTCGACCTTTGATCATTTTGTGTGAAGAACATATAAAATAACACATTTTCAGTGCCTTCACACTCTTCACCCCCCACACATTCATATTACACATGTGGTGTTGGGGTGAACCTGAGGTTGAGGGTGTAAAAGTGTGGAGGTGCTGTGTCCCTCTGCTCTCCTCCTACATGGTCTACCATCAGTGTGTGTGTCTGTGTGTGTATGTGTTTGTATATGTGTGTGTCTGGGTGTGAGTTTGAGGGTGGACAACATGGACAGGCTGCTGACTGGCTACAGCTGCTAAAGGAGAACCCTACGCTGGACACTTGTGATATTATAAACATCTGATATTTTTACAGAAATTGTTTTGGCTGTATTGATTTAAAAAACAATAATGCGGTGGGTCAGCAGACCACTGAGTAACAAAAACATCAACACCACACAAGGGTTAAAAAGTTCTTTGCATCATGAAAGGTTCTTCAGATTGATGGAGAATGTGTTGAATATGGTTCTATATAGCCCCGAAAAGGGTTCTTTTAGTATTACAAGCTTGACATCGTAACAGTAGAAAAACACTTTTTGGTGCATATATGGAACCCTTTTCAAAACAGTACTATATGGAATCATTTTCAACACATTCTCCATTCACTCTGAAGAACCCTTCCTTGATGCAAAGAACCTTTTAATGATGCAAAGGGTTTGAGTGCTCATGGTTCTATATAGTACCATTTTCTTCACTAGAGGAACCTTGAAGAACCATCTTTTTTAAGTTTGTAGGATTCAGCTTCAGAAGGTAAAAGAAACTGAAAGACTGGTCACAGGGGACCATAAACTAACCGCTTAAACCAATGCTTCCTATGCACCTTCACACAGTACTTAAATAGTGCATTTACACATACAGGTCACATAGGTTTTTAAAGGAAGAGCTGCTGCTATTTTGTTTGCTGTTACTGCCCAACATGTAATGCTTAGTGATGTTTGTACTGCTCTGCTGTGTGTAATCTGAACACTATTACCATGGCACTTGCATTGTTTTCTACAGTATTTGCTTCTACTCTGTTTTCAGCAACACTTACAAACGTAAAATGTATAGCTGTTTTGTCTTTGTTCATCATTAGTTTATGTGGAACTGCTGAGACTAATCTCACACAGGTCTGACAGTAACTCAGAAATACAGTAATGAATGTGTAAAAATATATTCATACAGAAAAGAAGCAGTATTTGTTTAATAAATTGCAACCAGAGTAGCAACTCATGGAGTTTCTCATGCAAATCTACTTTTTGAAAGATGAATAATGTTTAGGTACACATTTCTACTGCAAGCTTTCTTCTACAGATGGCAGTGTAAACTTTATTTTGAGTGCCTGCCATTTGTGAATAATTCAGTCAAAAGTGGAAGTGCAAGTGGAAGTGCTATTACTCACCCCATAGGCGGGATGAACTGTATCAGACTGAGGTGCTGGTTATAACAGCCACTAAAAAAAGTCTGATTGATTCAAATGCAGTTTGTCCACGCAAGCAAATAATATCTGCTTCAGGAGACGTAAGGTCAGTGAAAGGCTACCTTAAACATTCTTCTCTCATTGTGACTTGCTTATATGCTTCAAAACAGTGCTATATTACAGCCACCAAGACAGAGATTAAAATTATGTAGTTGAATATTGAAGTGAAATCAAGTACACAACCTTTATAGGGAACAAACTTAAATATGCTATTTGTCTGCTTATTTTAGTACACGTTTTATATTTATTTGCTGAGTTAAACATGTGAGGAACAAATAAAACATATATAAAATGTGCCATAACATTTGCACAGACCACAATTTATGTTTTCGTGTTTTTTTTTTTTTTCCAAATATGTAACACTTTATTTGGATGGTCCACTGTAGATGCTTTGGAAATGCTCAGTCTGTTTTTAAGTACCATTCAACTAAATTTCCATTAAATGCAACTGAACTTTAAGTACAGTGTGAAAGAGTTTATTAAATATATCTCTAACCTAACCCTAACCTCAAGGCAAAACCTATACCTACTCCTGACCTTAACCCTAACCATAATGTTGTTGATAATCAACTGAATATCACCAGAAAGTTTGTTAATGATTTAAGTATCTGTGGAGCATCTATAGGGGATTATCCAAATAAAGTGTGACCAATATGTAAAACTCAGCAAATAAACAGTAATTGTGCATTAAAATATGCATAAACTTGTTCTCTGTAGAGGATGTGTTCACTTATTTTGACTTAGAAAATCAACAAAACATTAATAATTTTAATAATATATAAGTAATTTGACCATTTGACTCTATTCTTGGGGAATATCTGCCCAATTGTGAGGACGTTGGTATAGTAAGTAAAATGTCTTTGTTGCATTTTACCCCTAGTTAGATTGTCCCATGTGCAGGCTTCACATCAAAAGCCTGATTTCTGCTGGTTTCATGTGTGCATGACCACTGGCCTTTATACAGTGATTGTATCCAGCTGAATTTGATGGGTGCAAAAGGGAAAATAAAAATAGGCACGCTTTGACTCATCACCTCCGACCTGTCAGTACAAACCATGTCAACAAACACTAATCATTCATGACAACAGTCTTTCTCCCTGCACCCCCCATGGGTTGTATTCATATGCATCTGTGTGTCCACTGTTTTTTTTTCCATTCTGAATTTGTAATGGTTACACAGAGCGTTCTTTAAATAAATGCTATGTTACAGTGCTGTGTAGCCCCTCTGCTCCAAGCAGTAGATACTCAGTGAGTCATCATAGACTTCAACAAAAAGGCTTTTCCTCGGGCTGTTGACACAACTGACTAGTCATAGCAAGTTAATTTGATGTGATATAGCCTATAAAATATGTTTAACTGCTGAAGATGATTACAGTTCGCATATCACAGTGCTATATTTCACAATACACCCTTCATTTATTTAATTTCCAGTCAAAACAGCCATTAAGTACAAATTGTTCGTTTTAAATTTATGAAAAGATGTGGTTGTAAGATAATCCACTTGTATAGTAAAGGGAAAAGCAAAGGAAAATAAGTTTTGAAAACTGGAGCTTAAAAAGAGATTAAACCTTACATCAACTGTGCAAGACCTGGTAGACACCAAAACTGCCCCCATCAGATAAACAGCACTTAAAGCTTTCATCTCTGAGAGAGAGGAGAAAATCAAGCTGCTTCAGATCTGAAAACATCCACAGGTGTTTCTGTCCATCCTTCCACTGTGAGAAGACGACTCAGCGCTGTGGGTCTGAAAGGATGTGTAGCTGTCAAGAAGAACCTCACTGAGAAAAGGAGACGGACACATCAAACTAAGAAGCTGAACAATGGACTGACCACCCCAGAGTCCAGACCTTAACATCACTGAATGTGTTTGGGATTGCATAGATTGTGAGAAGCAGAAAATACACCCAGCTTCTAAGACTGAACTGTGGAGGTGTGGAAAAACATCCCTGTCGAAAATAGTGGGGTGTAAGCTCAGATACTGGTAGAATCAGAAGGTCATTGACACCTAGTGAAAAAGGGACAGAGTTAAACACAGAACAGTGCAATACGATAAAATACATAAGTGCTGTACAAGACATTACAATCAATACTTAATTTAGTGCTCATTTAAGTGCTGAATAAACAGGTGTGTCTTCAGTCTGCGTTTGAAGACAGCGAGAGACTCTGCTGTACGGACAGCCAGTGGGAGTTCGTTCCACCACCTGGGTGCCAGCACAGAGAACAGTCTAGTTGCTTGCCTTCCACGCGCCTTGAAGGATGGCGGGTCAAGCCGAGCTGTACTCGAAGCTCGAAGGGCTCGTGGTGCAGTTCGAGATTTGACCATTGCCATCAAGTAGGGAGGGGCTGGTCCATTTTTGGCCTTGTAGGCAAGCATAAGGGTTTTAAATCTGATGCGTGCAGCTACAGGAAGCCAGTGAAGGGAGCGCAGCAGTGGGGTGACGTGGCTGAACTTTGGGAGATTGAAGATGAGTCTTGCTGCTGCATTCTGGATGAATGCATACTGAGAAGCTTCTGTGTAATTTTCTGTGTTCTTCTTTTTTTCCCCTGACACAGAAAAATGAATATACTTAAAAGCTGTTTTGACTGGAAATTACACACAATCTTATATATACAGTCAATGATTCCGATTCCTCTGCAATTGTAGCCTCTCACTCTCACTCATACAGCTCATAGATTCTTGTTACAGTGGAGGTTCTTGAGGGAAACACAAGTTTGCTGTTGCTTTTGTTAGTTTGCTGCTCATTGATTTATCCATAGGTCTCCTGCGAGCACTGTCAAGCATAGACTGCTGAAGATGCTGAAAGTAGCACTCACAAGCCATTTAAAGGCTGTATTTGAATGAGAGGGCTGGAATCACGGATTCTATCACAGCAACGTGCAGTGCAGCTGGGCTTCAGCCTGCCCTACTACAGATATTAAAAATGAGTGCCATTAATAATTTATAGCATTAACTTTGGCATTACACTCAAATATGTGCTGACGAAGTTGGATTTAATTCTGTATATCAGTTTATTTTGCATATACTGCAATCTTGCAGTGTGATTTATTTCTTTAAGTGGCGTTCTTTTTTTTTTTTCTGTTTTTGGTAGGTGGAATGTTTTGGTACGTTTCAGGCGCTAACTTTTTGGGTGAGATTCTGGAATGGGCCGGATTTGCTCTTGCTGGTCACTCGATCCACAGTGCGGCCTTCGCTTTCTTCACCTGCATCGTCCTCTCCAGCAGAGCAGTAGCTCACCACAAGTAAGGCCTTTAATTAAGTCTAGTTTAATATATTATGAGATTTCATTTCTTTATCCATTCAAGATATATGAATTGATTCAGTTTGCGTTAGTGGATTTTATGATTAAATGAGTTATGGTGCAGTTGTGTTTATGACAAATCCATATATCTTCATTTTAGTCCATATCTGCTTTGAAATCAAAAATTAGATAATAAACAAATATATATATATATATTTTTTTTTTTTTCATTTCAGTCCCTCAAAACAAACACAGATAGTTTCATGTAATAAATGCATTTAAATAATGAATTCTCAGCTTTTTTATGCAATACATGTATATATGTGTGTGTGTGTGTGTGTGTGTGTGTGTGTGTGTAAGGTATATAACTCATTGCATCAATGCAAAGGTAATATAGGAGGATTTGAACAGGGAAAGACACAGGAAAAAAAAAATAACACTGATAGTAAAAGATGGGGGAAAGATGCATCACTGGATCCTTAACAGGAGATGATTGTTGAAATGAAAGATCATAATCGTATTAATGTGTTTTGTTTTTCAGGTGGTATCTGACGAAATTTGAGGATTACCCCAAATCAAGAAAAGCTCTGATTCCATTTGTGTTTTGATAGTAATCATGTTGCCATGTTGCTGTTGCTATCATGTACACTGAATAACATGTGGGAAACATTGTCAGTGTTTTTATTCACTCATTGTGTTGTGAATTTAATATGACAAACTGTGAAATCTACTGGATTTTTTCCTCACTGAGTAGTTTCCTGAACACCAGATTAAGCCTATTTTGGGACAAAAGTGAATTTCAGTGTGATTAGTCAAAAGAAACTTGTAGGAATTTGCAGTACATTCATGAATAAGTACTTTAAGGAAAACTCTTGTCAGCTTTGTGCTCTAGAGAGAAGTAGGAGGGTTGAAGTCATGCAAAAAGACCAGTCTTAAAAATGTGAATAATTTATTAAAAATCCAAAACTGATCACAGAAAAAAATGGTTGACCAATAACATGCCTGTGACATCACACCCATGGTGAATTAAAAAATAAGCAGTTCTCGCAGATGCACTTCCTTTAGTTTCCTAGTTGCCTTTATAATCAACAACGTCTTAAATTTTAAGTGGACAAATTCAGACTTTTAATATGGAGCTCATGAGCTGCCTGTAGATGAGTTAGACCAATCAGAAGCAGCCCATGTGATTTGTATAAATAACAAACACAACCGAGCAACTGGAATTTCTGGCACACTGCTGGAAGTGTTTAAGCCCCAATTCTTACGCAGCCCTGCTGGTGACATCCTGTATAGCACTGTTGTCGGAACAAAACCTTGTATCTCCAGAATGGTAACTTTACAGGAGAAGGAAAAACCCTACTTTACTCTTGATGTAAGTCAAATGGAACCAGATTTTTTCCAAGTAATTGTGGGCCGTTTTTTTCAGTCCATTCATTGTGAAATTTACAAACAATGTAAAGGACAACAGGTACTTTCAAATGATGTCAAAAACTGAAAAACGACAAAAATGGAGATACGAGGTTTTCTTCCGACAGCAGCAATAAAAATAATGCATGGCCACAACTTAGGAAAGTGTGGGAATAAGATAATTAAGTCGTGGCCATGACTTAGTAAGGCGTGGGAATGATATCCTAATGCATGGCCACGACTTAGTAAGGCATGATCTTGTTCCCATGACCTAACAAGTTGTGGCCACGATTTAATTATCTCATTCCCATGCCTTACCAAGTCGTGGCCATGCATTAGGATCTCGTTCCCATGCGTTATTAAGGTGTGGCCACGCATTATTTTTATTTATATAGAGTGTCACCAGCAGGGCTCCATAAATTCTGGATATTCTGGTGTTCTTAGCCAAAATGACAGACCTGTTATTTTTAACACGACAGGACATGAATCACAAATAACATCACAGATATGCTGTCATATTACTTGTGATGACACAAGACCTCCAGTGTTCTTTTACTCAACAATTCTGCAAAATGAAGCGCTGAATATTATAAAATGTGCTTTTACTATCAGTAATTTCTACTGGCAAAAAATGCAGTGTGGTAAAGTTGGTTTAATATTGGACATTCATTGGATATTTCACTTTCTCTCATCATTTTTTCATGAAATAAATGATCAGAACTACATTTTCTCACTCCTGAAAGACAGAATTACAACCAAACATATTTCAAAAATGTCCTCCTTCAAATTTCACTGACTGCAATGTTTCACAAATGCATGCTTTGAAAATTAAGAGACTGTCTGAACAGTGAATAACATGCTTCCCATGTATTACATGAGAATACACATCATAGTGAAAAGACAGGAGCTTCCTTTACAGGGGAATTCCTCCATGTAAGCAGAGTCATTCAGAGTGGTTTAATGTGAAATGGTTCATTGTATATAAACAGACTCCGACTCTTTAGGAACCAGGGGTCACCATGTCTACGACACAAATATAACCTTTTATTCACCATCCAAAACCACCAGTGAACCTACATGTGTTTTCTGAGTTTTTATATGTAATGTTGATGATGGAAAAAACAGACATAAATCTGAAGAAATACGTTTTCTTTAGGGACTGTTTTTCCTTACAACACCTTGTATGTATCCCTCCGCCATGAATGGATTGAAGTTAATGAATTAAAGTACATTTTTAGCCAAAAATGTATCATAAAACTATGCCAAGCAGCATATATCTAACCATTTATGCAATACCTTTCTGTGAGGGAGATTTTAGAGGTGAACGTCTGGTTCCTATCACCACCACTGTGAACAATTCTGACTCTGTAAGTTTCTCTAAAATGGGGCATTTCACATTAAACCACCTGAATGACTTTGTTTACATTTCAAACATTTAATTATGTAAAAACTTTTGAAAAATCCCCTTCAAGCCCACTTCACATCCCGGTCACAGGAAGCTTACTGCAAGTGATTTGATGTGATTTTGCCTTATTTAGCTAAATACATGAGAAATTAAACTTAGAAAGATGTCCTTGTTATGCACTGTTTAGACAGCCTCGCTGACTAAAGTGTCTGAGTCAGAAAATTTAGGTTTGATCAATTTTGGACGTTTATTTTATGAGAAATCAGGAGAGAATGTTGAACATCCAGTGAATGTCTAATATAAAACTACCTAAAACCAGCATGATGTGACAGACAGAGCCACAAAACAGCCGCAACTTCAATTTCATCTCAGCTTTTTGCCACATTAACTTGAATGTTGTTTTGTGCCAGCCAGTCCGTAAAGCATTTGTTTGCTGAATTGTATTGTGTAACTTTGCGGCCAATACCAGTCCGTCATCACAGCTGTCCACTGAAAAGCTCATTTTGGAGCAACAACAGGTTAAGAATTTAATGTAGGTCTGCTGTCAGATTCCTCTTCAGAATCTGACCAAACGGGCCGCAGGTCAAACATTATCTTATAGAGGTTATGTGTCATTTTTTGGGTTTTGTATGCGCTAAATACAAACACACTGTGGGTTATGTGCAAAGAAGCAACTGGTGCTCAGCAAGATGATATAGATGTTGTGAAAAAATGTGCTATGGGGTATAACGCCTCTCAGATTGGGATGTCAGAACTAACTGTTGTGTAATGTAATAATATCAGTCACAATGTTGGTCAGTAAAATCTCTGTTAGATATTTTTCTCAAATCGTTCAGCCCTACATGAGACTCCAGTCCTCGCTGACTGCAGCTGCAGACTTCAGCAGTCTGCCTAATTAACCCAACCTGATTCGACTCATCAGCTTATTAGCAAGGCCTTCATGAACTGAATTCAGAGCATCAGATGAAGGAAAGTGCTAAACTCTGCAGAACACTGGCCCAGTTTGGAAACCTGTTTCAGTGTTTACGTTATATATCGAACTTACAAAAAAGGATGGAAAATACAGTTTTCCTTGATTGGGGTCCTTTTTGAAGGAACGTTATTTTATTCTAACAGATTGATTGTTAAACACTGTAAGTGAAATAAAAACTCAACCAGTCAAGTTCTATGGTGTTTTCAGAGATCATCAACAATAACGTCAGTGCAATAGTAGAAGGATCACGTCAGTGTCAACACTATCAGTTCTCCAAACTGCAACCACAAACACCACAACAAATCTGCGCTTTCACACTTCAGCTGCAGCGTCTGACATTTGTGACCTGTTGAAGACAAAGACACAACACAGAACACACACCCATACATGCACATGCACTGAAATTTTAAACAGACGAGCCACTCTTACCCAGACTCTCTCACAGAGGAGCATTAGCACTTTAATATATTCATGCTCGACCTTTCCAATGACAGGCTATGCTAATGTTAATACCCTTCAGCAGTAATCTCATCAGTAAGACGTTACGGATAAATTCTCACTGTGTTCTTTGAAGGTTTATGCATGCAGGAGAACAGATATCAAACTATAATGATGAGATATGAAAAGAAAAATCATTTCAGTAATATGTATGAATACATAATGCATAGCAAAAAGAAATTGTCAATAAATAATAAATAATTGAGGTAATAAATAAACTAAAGTTTTTTGACATAATTTAGAAACACCAGCTTTACATTGTCTGAATGTTTCATGACAAATGGACCAATGGCGATGATACGAAATGAACCCAAATGAAATAAAATTACATGAACTTACACAAGCAAGTAAAGGGGAATTTCTACCGATATTTCAAAATTTCTACGTAATTCAATCACTGAGATGTAAACAACGTCATTCAGAGTGGTTTGGCGTGAAATGGTTTAATGTAGAAAAACTTACAGACTTAGATTTCTTTACAGTGGTGGTGATAGGAACCAGAGGTCACCATGTGTACAATACAAATATAGACATTTTATTTACTATCCAAAACCACCAGTGAACCTACATGTGTCTTATGAGTTTTGATATGGAATGCTGATAATGGTGAAATAGTGGTAAGTCAGAAAAAATACATTTTCTTTGTAGGCTATTTTGCCTGCCTATTCACAAAACTATGTCACAGACATGAGGCAGTTTATTGATAACCATTTCATGTAATAACTTTCTGTCAGGGAGCTTTTAGAGGAATTTAACTCTGAAGATGTCTGGTTCCTATCACCACCACTGTGAACAATTCTGAGAAGTTCTAAGTTTCTCTTCAACAGAGCATTTCACATTAAAGCACTTCCTTAAATGAATCTTACTAATTTTGAAGAATCATTTAAGAATGTTTCTTCTTCCTGAAAATGCTAGTTGCCCTTTACATTGCGTTAAAATTCTGTCATGAATGGAGGAATAGAAATGCTCCATAATTAATTAGAAAAAGATCTTTTTTGCATCTTTTTTGCAAAGCCCAATCCTTTTTCACCCCTCGCCCCTTCCACTTAGCCCAACCCCTCCGTTTTGCGCGTTCATGCCTAGAGGTAGGTTGTCCCAATGTTTTATGAGATAGAGGGGTAGGGTGAAGTGTTAGGGCTACACAGCCCTCCAAACTGAGATTTGGAGGGCCATATCTGAGAATGTTATAAGAAAAGAAAATCCGGCAAGATGACTGCGCAAGCGACCAAAGAAACCCACAAATGTGAGGATTTTCTGCGTTAAAAAATTATAATAAACATTGTATTTTCTTAGTTTAAAGTCGTTTCAGTGTATTATGTATATTATGTATATTAATACTAGTAGTATGCTGATGTCACGGTAGCCAGCAAGCTATATTTCTAAAAATTAGAATGAGAAGCTGGCAAATATCTGACTTCAGCTTTATATCACCGAAGAATTAGGGGTG